GTTTATCCGAGGCGCGATTATTGCTAGTTGAAAACTTTACCCAATACCCCGCCTTGACGACTTGAAATATAGTCGGCTATGGCAATTTTTGACGGTCTCTACGGAGACTGATATACGCGGTGAAAAAAAAGAGCGTGAAAGACTTGCACTATTTAAACTATGTCATACTTTGAAACTCACAAGTCAATAAGGGTTTGATTGATAGTTTCATTTCGGACACGGTTCTTTGTGGTAGTTGAAAAACAAAGTTTAGGCTTAAAACATATTTTAGAAGACCTTTGTTATTGTACTGGTGGTGGAAAAACACATGGAGAGTGTTATAATACAAAATAGTCCCAAAATAAAGCTTATGTTTTCAAGTTTTCGAGTCATCAAAATCATATATATAACTCTGTAAACACATGTAGGTTCACTGGTGGTTCTGGATAAATAAAATGGTACATAAAATGGCTATTTGTTCATCATGGTTATTGGGACCCCTAGCTCCACCTTTGTAAAAATCTGAGTCAGCAAGTTTCCCTAAAAAAGGACTAATTTCACATCAAACCACTCTGAATGACTTTGTGTATATATCGATTACTGAATTAAACAGATTTTTAATCGTTGGAGTTCCCCTTTAAAAGTTCCACAGTAACGTTATGCAGTATTATTTTTAAGTATTTAATTCGTGGTGATACCGACCATGGCGCAAGACAAGTTTTAATAAAGGGTGTACCAAAAAACACCACAGCTACAATTGTTCCGATTTTGAATGAACTGTATGAATTAAGGCACATAAATGTTTTATGTTAAGATTGTCTGGTTGTTGTTTGTGTTTATTTTATATACAAGTAAAAGAAAAAAGAGAAAAACAACCCACAAATTGTAGAAAGTGCACAAAATCTGACTTTTAGGGTTTTATGGTAACACGTGGTCTCTCAAGGGCGGGAGTGAGATTGGCACTCAGCATGCCTTGGTGGTGGAAATTATCTGCCGAGTTTGATGTCTTGTTAATTTTGTTAACTGTTGCAGTATTTTAATGTTACCTTTTGTGTCCTGTTCTGCTGTAGTGTGTTTTATTTATAGATTTTTTCCCCCGTTTTCTCTCCCCTTCATCCTGCTGAGAAATGTTAAGAAGCCTAGTAAAAAAACAATGACGCTTATGGTGTGCATGTGTCATAGCAAGCACAAGATCACTGGTTGAGCTGTTTGGGATAGAACACCAACACATAATTAATGCAGGCTTGCTGGTTGATGTGCACAAATACAAGACTAATAAAACTGTTTTTAGTTCATTTCACTTATCGAAGTGTGACAATGAATACCTCTATATAAATCAGTATTCTTGTCAAGTTGATACAGTAGCATTTACCTGTTTTGTGATTGGCTGCATTACCAGCCATAGTTGACTGCTACAGTAAGAGGATATGACAATCAAGTGATCACTGTAGTGGAAGAAGACTGGAAAAACAAGAATGTGTGTTCGGGAACAATTAAAGGTGATTTATGTGCTCATGTGACTTTAGATTCACTTCAGATTGACAGTGCTTGTGTAACTGAGTGTGAGAGAATAGGGAAGTGAAGGTTTTTATTGGCTTTTATTCAACAGTTGCAATGTTTTGGGGCTGAGTCAGTTTCTCCTGCCTTCGCGAACACCCTCTCACAAGGGATGGGACAGATATTTTTGTGTTTTTATCAAGAGGATCTTCTGTTCTTGGCAAGTACATTTCTGCTAGATATCAGTCAAACTCAGCTGTAGCATCTGCTTTGCTTAACAGCACTGTCCAGAAGGAGCCCCCAAGTTTGCACATTAAAAAAAAAACAAAAACATGACACTAACTACATTTCACAGTAAAGGAAATCTCAGCCTGAAAACATGGGGTGTACACCAAAAGCATACACAATTTGAACTTGACTTGGCAGCTAGAGTACGAGGAAAATGAAAATCATTCTTGCTCAGCCACAGAATCTTGCCTGAGTAGCCAGGAGACAAACCTGGTCAAGTGATTCACTCTGAAAACCCAGTACCTATCCAACCTGCTGCACAGTTTGCATAACCGGAAAGTATTAACGAGCATACTGAACATGCAACCAAAAATCTTTTCTTACTGTTCTTTAAAACTAAATACGGAAAGGCTAAGCATGCACAAAGCATCATGGGTCACACGGTGGGCTGCGACACCACATTGCCCCCTTGTCCAAGAGCAGCAACCCCGCTGCTTACTAGTCTCATCAGACAAAGTCTTTGAAATATCTAGCAGTCTGCCACTCCCACTTCGAGGGCTTTCAGTTCAAGGGACTACCTGGCATCCTCACAGGCTTTGCCTCGAGGCTATTAGCATCTCCATGAGAAAGTTTAGTTCTGCCCTCTCTGCCTCTTCTTCCTTACACTCGCTGTCACTACAGTCCACCCACACCACTGTACTAACCTGGCTGCAGCCTGTCTACTCTCCCAAAATTGCCTCCAACTCTTGGGCCCACCGTAGAAGCAAGTCAGAAGCACCGTGCAAGCCATAACCGCTGGAGACTTAATGGTTTTACCACCCATAAAAATGCATCCAAAGCCATGGTATCACAGGCCACTGCTACAAACTCATGTGAGCCCCACCATATTCTCTATGTTGGCAGCAAGCAGACCCAGCTTCTCCCTGATGGTGTTCTCTCCAACTGAGTTTCTCTTTAATGTGCATGGGCCACACTTGCTCACCAAACTGCAATGGCTGTCATGGGCCAAGTTACCATATCGTCTCCAGGGAGCTCTAACAGTACCTGCAGGGATGGCCCTTCTAGTGCCAAGGCTAACTGTGCCACCTTTGCTTGGTTCTCCCATCCCTCCACAACCATCTTAAATTGCCGCAGCTGACCAACTCCCTGTACCACTATTACGCCTTATCTTAGGTTGATGCATTGGGCGTTGTAGAGGCGGCTCCAGCTGCTGTCTTTGGCAAGTCACATCGGGAGCTGGTAGTGGCACTGGGCAAGGACGTCGTGGAAGGCATAAGTTAAAGACCTGACAACCCTATCGACTGCTGCAGGTCAGCTATTTCCTCAGCTAGCCTGCATGTGGGAGAGGGGTGCTGCATCCTTCAGCCCAGGATGGCACGAGTCTTCCAGAGAGTGTACTCCTCCCCCAGGCCACCCAGCCCGGCTCTTCATAGGATCTTCTCATCCTCTGCCTGCCTTTCCTCCCTCTGCTGCTCCAGGCCTCTCCTGGCGCTTCCTACCTGGTGCCCTGCCAAATTCATGCGCCACCAGCGATCCCCTGAAGGCAAACTAGCTCCACCTTCACCTTGAGTCTTTGCCAGAATAAACCCATAGAACAACTGCAGGAGAACAATACCCAGAATAAACATGCAGAACATTTCTTTAATATGCTACAATATGAAAATGGTTGTTTGTTATTGATGAATGCATGAAAATAGAAGCAAATAATGGCATTGCTGACATTCGCTGCCCCAAAAAACATGCAGCTCAGACACCAATCTATAAATAATAATTAACTTCTTAAAATAAATAATTAACTTCATATTAACTTCATATTTATCAAAAAATAGCAAATCTGTACAAATCACCTTTAGGTCAGTTAATGTAAAAGATATTATTTCGATATTTACACAAATGCATACCCACTTGACTGTCAGACAACTAAAATGAAACACTAAGAGGAACTGCAATAGACTACACTGTGGATAAAACTTGAATCTAGCCCATTTAACAAATCTACAATTTGGATTATTTAAATAAAAAAAAAATGAAATGGACATAGCGATATGTCTAGCCTGACATGTATTTAATATACACAAGATCAAAAAAAAAAAATTCAAAACATAATTCTGTTCTACATCCAGGAGGAACCCAGCATCACAGAAAACCACTGTACTCAACAACCACCACAGCCCAAAAAGGTGCTACTCTAAAAGTGGTGTGGCAAAACTTTTTTCCAGAAAAAAAATGCTAATAACACGTCTCTATTAACCTATCCACAATAGTGGATATTGTATCTTTTCCATTTGGTTCAACTGATTTCCCTCCACAAGAGCTAAAATGGACCCAATTTACACACAAGCGTGTTTGTTGTTGGTCAGACATTACACTTCTCTACTTTGGACTTGTGGCCAACCCATTTGGAAGGTTTTCCAGCATGCAGTAATACCTTACTCCAGGGTGCACAACTCCAGTCCTGGTGGGTCGGTGTCCAGCACAGTTTGGTAGTTTACCTACTCAAACACACCCACTAAACCTGGCAATTAACAGATTGATAACAGAGTTGAATCAGGTGTGTTTTAGCAGGTAAATCACCAAATTGTGCTGGATGCCAGCCCTCCAGGACTTACTCCTTTGGTTAGTGTCAGCTCTGTGATAAGAGGATCTCAGTGCACAGCATAAAAGCCTCAAAATTAATGCATAATCAGTTTTAAAGATGATAGCAGAGTTCAAACTTTGTCCAAGTAGAAGGATCGAGGGCTCCAGCCCGTTTCATCATCGCAGAGATCGGTCAGAATCATCAAGGAGACACTGAGATTGCCTAGAAAATGATTCACATGGCTAAGGTATTGTAGAGGAATAAGGTTTATCAGGTTTGTAATGTTAGGAGCCTTTTTGTCTTGAAGGCTTACAAAAACGTTTGAAAAGTAATCAGGATGATTATGAGGAAAGTCATATTTAATCTTAGATCAGTACATTCACACAAATAAAGCAACTCAAAATACAAGTACCTGAAGACATTTTAAAAAGTGTTAATTATATATTCAGCAGTGAACTGTAACTGCAGTTATTAACTGCCATCACACAATAACTTTCTTTTGTAGATGTAGTTGTAGAAATAGATGTGTATAAACAAACAAACAAATAAATAAAAAGTATAAATAAATAGCACTGTACAAGAACAAACAGATAACAACTTGTAAGATGGCTTATATTCCAATCAGGGGTGGAGCCACACCTTCAGAAGACGTTGTCCGAAACTCGTTTTATCACGGCTTGCTGAGTGACAAAACGCAACTACGCAGACGTTACACCCTTCCCATTTGAAGGGTTTCCAGCATGCACTAATACCCTACTCCTTCATTTAAGCGGTGGCTCAGTAGTGAGAGGGTCTCAGCACACAGGATCAAAGTCTCAAAATTAATTCATCATCAATTTTGAAGATGACTGTCGAGTTTGAACTCTGTCCAGGAAGAAGAATCGGGGGCTCCAACCCCTGTTTCATCATCGCAGAGATCGGTCAGAATCATCAAGGAGACATTGAGATTGCCAAGAAAATGATTCGCATGGCTAAGGTATTGTAGAAGAATCTTATCAAGTTTTGCAATTTTACAAGCCTTTTTGTTTTGAAGGCTTACAAAAACTTTTGAAAAGTAATCAGGATGATTATAAGGAAAGTCATATTTAATCTTAGATCAGCACAATTACAGAAATAATGCAGCTCACAATACCAGTACCTGAAGACATTTTAAAAAGTGTTAATTATATAATCAGTAGTGAACTGTAACTGTAGTTTTGAACTGACACACATTAATGTCCTTTTGTATTAGAGTTGTAGGAATGGATGTGTAGAAATGAATGAATGAATGAATGAATGAATGAATGAATGAATGAATGAATACATAGCACTGTACAAGAAAAACTAATAAATCACTTCTAAGACATCTTATTTCAAATCTGGGGGGGGGGTTGTTAAACTTGTTAATCACGGTTGGCTGAGTGACAAAACGCAAGTACGCCACTGAGTAACTAAAACTACTTTTCATGTCATGCTAGTAACATGTTTCTATAAAACGATCAATGAGTTTTTGTAATGTTGTATCTTTCATTTGGTCCAGTTGGTTTCATACCACAATGGCTAGTGTGGACCTATTTAGACAGTGGGTTTATTTTATTGGTCAGACATTTTGCAAGGATGCAACAGCTCTGCTATTTTTACCACCATGAAAATATGAACATGTAAATAGAACATATAAAATAATCGCAAAACAATAATAATGTGGCATCAGAGCGCGCTGTAGTTCCCGTAATGCTTTGTGCTTGCTTAACTGGACTGTATTTAACGTAATTAAAGTTTTTTCGCTTGTACGTTCAGTATGCAAGTTAATGTTTACAGGTAATATCGTTCATATCAGTCTTTGTATAAGATAATAAGTGACGGTCAACGTTCCCAAGTTCAGTTCTGCATCCCTGACTTATATGGTAAATGCTGATATAAAGGCAAAACAGGTTTACAGGTTATGCGAACTGTTGAACAGGTTGGGTAGGTATTGGGTTTTGAGAGTGTGAGTTATCATCAACCACATTTTTTTTCTGATTAATAACCCCAGGCAGGTTTCTGTGGTTGTGCACAGCACATTTGCATATAGGGAATAAGACTGATTTTACTGTATTGTACTGTGGCTACCAACTCAAAATAAAACTACAGTATGGGCATCAACCTTTGAGTTGTCTATGCTTCTTCTCCCCCCACAGTATGCAACAATAATAAACCTTTTTAAATTATATACTTCTTTAAATATTAAACTTTTTTTTTAAAACTTTTTTCGATATCTGCTTCCTTATGGTTGGTTCACCAATGTGAACTGAACTAATTAGGTCACTGATGCTTAGTCAAAAATACATTCTGTGATCCATGTGCCAAAATTAAACACGTAACCTTTGCTGTTATTTTATTGCTCGTCTGTTGTAATTAACAGCAACTTATGCTGCAGGAACTATATGCCAGTCTGTAAATATGAAAATGTTAAAAATTTTGCAAGCAGTATGGCGTTGATGTGCTCTGAGAAAAGCAGCCTCTGGTGTTGAATTCTCTCGTTTGGTGTGGAACATCATAAAAATGCGTTCCTACCAGCAGCAAACTCAAGCAGGGGTCATCAGTCCACAGTTTGGTTGTTTGGTGTGAACCCGAATATGGATGAGGTGTTCACACGTCAAAACGGACCAAACTAAGGTCCACAACAAACAAGGTAGGTGTGACTGCGACCATAGTATAGCAAGGTAGCAATGAGAAATATTAAGACTAACATTTAGCAAATTCAAACTTTGACCCTGTGCTTTAGCGCATGTATCGCAGTAAAAACATTTTTTACCACATTCATGAGCTGCAGCTCCTCTCACTGAACATGAACTCACAGGATTTACTGTTTGGGAAATGTCCCGCCCCTCAGCTGCAGTGGTAATTTTGATTGCCTCTGCCAATGCTACGGTATATATACATCCAATAATCAAGATATCTGCAGTCCATAAACAAACATGTAACAATACACAACACATACACTGTACCCACTGTTTTCACTGTACTGACAATCACTCTCCATCCTGGATCAGATTATTTTTCATCGACCGGTTTCTGACAGTCACTGTCTACTTGTAACTCAGGTAATACACTCTCTCTCCCTCTTTCTCCTCCTGCTCTTTGTTCTCCTCCTCCTCCCCCACACCTAGGACTGTGGAGCAGACTGTGTTAAGTTCCAGAAAAGTGAGCTCGAGCACAGGTTTACTAAGCGTGCACTAGAGCGCACATACAACTCCCCTCATTCGTGGGGAAACACATATGGGGCCCACAAGCGCCATCTAGAGTTCAGTCACGAAGAGTACAGGGAACTGCAGCAGTTTTCCAGAGAAGTGGGAATTTTCTTCACTGCATCAGGAATGGACGAGGTAAGGAATTATTACGGAAATAATTATGACTCACAAAAGCAAAATGTTCTACAGCAAGACTGCAGTTTACATTTAATCAAAGCAAAATGAACATTACATTGTTTTAAAGCAGTCCAAAAAACTGTCACTGTCCAAAAAAAAGTCCAAAATGGCAACAGTAAAAGCAAAAAAACGTTCTTAACCCTTAATGTAAGTTAATGTAAAGACATTTTATTCCAAGTAATCTTGGAGGATTTCTATTGGTTTATCATCAAATTTTCACAAAATGTAAAAGACTGCTGCTGTGTTCAAATTATGTAGAAATGTAAACAATTTGATTAATTATAACATCACATATATTGCACACACATTGTACATATATATGTATATATATATATATTAATGTGAGCAATATATATACACATATCTTTCTTCCATATGGGAACATTTGGCCCACCAGAAAGTTCATTAAGTACACCTCCTTGTCTCTACACTTTTTGTCCATTTTATCAGCTCCACTTACCATTTAGGTGCACACTGAAGTTCTACAATTACAGACTGTAGTCCATCTGTTTCTCTGCATACTTTGTAAGCCCCCTTTTACTTTGTTCTTCAATGGTCAGGAGCCCCAAAGAGCAGGTACTATTTGGGAGGTGGATCATTCTCATCACTGCAGTAACACTGACATGGTGGTGGCGTCTTAACGTGTTGTTTTGGTATGAGTGGATCAGACACCACTCACTGTCCACTCTATTAGACACTCCTACCTTGTCAGTCCACCTTGAAGATGTAAAGTCAGAGACAGTAGAACATCTGTTGCTGCCCACTTTCTTTTGGTCATCCTGTGGTGGTCCTGTGTTCTGACCATTGAAGAACAGAGAAAAAGGGGGCTAACAAAGTTTGCAGAGCAACAAACGGATTACAGTCTGCAATTGTAGAACTACAAGATGATTTTATATGGTAAGTAGAACTGATAAAACAGACAATAAGTGTAGATACAAGGCGGGTATACTTAATGAAGCGGCCTGTCCGTGTATATAACTTAGCACATGTTCATCGCACGTGCACGCACACACACATATTATCTAAGCCACTTTTCCTCTTTTGGGTCGCGGTGAGTGCTGGAGCCTATTCCAGTGGTCATTGGGCAGATGGCAGGAAACACACTGGACGGGTCACCAGTCCATCACAAGGCACAGTGTCATCATAAAATACATTTAAAAATTTAAAAACTTTATTTGAAGCCTTTGTTATTTATATATTGTTTTGTCTATTTGGCTCTCAGCCCACCAAAGACATTTTATATTTTATATTTTTTAAACCATTTTTTTTTTTTAACAAAGATGGCTGTGGAATTCCTGCATGCAATCAATGTACCCTTCTTCAAAGTGGCCTCTGCAGACACCAATAACATCCCTTACCTGGAGAAGACCGCCAAGAAAGGTGCATTTACATTGTTTATTTTTATTTCTAGCAAGGTGGTTAGTAGCAAAGCACTTTTCCACTGTCCATCTGCAAACTGACTAAACCTGTATATTATGCAATCATGCAGAAAAGGTTTTTCAAGTATAAGCACAAGTATAATCAAATGTAATATAATGTTTAAGTACAACAAATGTCATTGTATTTATTTTCATGGCAGTTTGGTGCAAACTGTACTAGAGATGTATAAGTCCAGCTCAGCACATGTGGACTAATGTCCCCAGGTCGTCCTATGGTTATATCCAGTGGTATGCAGTCTATGGAGACTATGCACTGTGTTTATCGGACAGTGAAGAAGCATAACCCAAACTTCACCATCCTGCAGTGCACCAGCGCCTATCCACTGCCCACAGAGCACGTCAACCTGCGCGTCATCACCGTGAGAGTCCTTTACCTCTTCACTATTGACTTTGTAGTTTCAGGGACAGGGAGTTCTGCACTTTATATTAAAATTTAATCATACACTGACATGTCTATATATTTTGGACAGTTTTTATTTTTAAGAATAGAGATGGATGCAGCTCAAAATGTTTGAAGGTTTGCAACAGTGTGCAAATTTCATGATACAATGCATACTGCTGTTTTTTATGATACGATATGTTTTTGATACAAATTTAGTAAAAAATGCTAATGTTACTTTTATGTTTATTTATTAATTATTATTTCTATTATTGAAGCCTCGGGGACCAGAAACTCACCCATGCATAAAATTTGATGTTTCTATATATGTTTCTCAATTTTTGCAATAATACAGCACAGAAACACCATTTACACGTTTTCTGAATGAGTCTGACCTTTCTCTTCCATCTTATCTTGCGATCGTAAGTGACTCACATCTGGAGTTATGAAGCTATGAAGAGGGGTTGAGATACACGTCATCTTCCTCTGACCATGTGTAACTGGTGGATTTGTGTGTCTGTCTACATTTTGTGTGAAACTGACCAATAGACACTCTTGAAATCACTAAGGACTCGCCCATCACACCAAAAACTCCTCATTCTTCATTCAGTCGACATCTGAGACACGTGAAATGGCAGGCAAAGAGTTTACAGTCGCTGAAGTTGTTGCTGCGGCTTTGGAAAGCAGTGACGAAGATAAAAGCATTTTGATATGAAATGTATGAGTATCATGTTACACGATATTATATCATGTATATGTTCTATTAAGTGCCTTTAAAGGCCATTATAAGAAGGTTTTAAAAAATAGAGAAAATGCCTTTTGACAGGGTTAATATTATTTTTGGTAATTCAAACATGAGATCTAAATCTATTCAATACACAAGGTGCATCGTCTCATGACCTTCAAACAGAAAAAAATTAATATCAACATGCATATCACGACACCCCTGTATGTTTGCTGTTCTGAGTTCTGGGAAGGACCCAGGGATGTTGAAGAGGTACTAGATTGTTTTGGTTCTAATTTGGTTAAGAGATACTTACAAACCAGGTGCAGTCGTGCCATTGACCAAAAGTTGTTGTCCAGTTTTCATTTACCCCTTACTCCAGCACTGCATCCTTGAAAAAAAGCAAACAGGATAGAACAGAATAGAACAGAATAACCATAACTTTCTGATGCAATGTTATTTCTGTTCTCCAACACAGGAATTCCAGAAGGAATTTCCTGACATTCCGATCGGCTACTCTGGCCATGAAGGGGGCATCAGTGTGACTGTAGCTGCTGTAGCACTGGGGGCAAAGGTTGTGGAGCGGCACGTAACCCTAGACAAAAGCTGGAAGGGCAGTGACCACGCAGCGTCACTAGAGCCGGCCGAACTGGCAGCACTGGTGCGAGAGATCCGGACAGTGGAGCTTGCTCTGGGCTCTCCAGTGAAGCAGATGCTGCCCTGCGAAGCCTCCTGCCACAAAAAGGTCAGAAATTACAGTAACACCTGCAGGTCCTCTTAAGAACATGTCTGCTGTAGCAAAGCCTGCCCTTCCATTGTCCTTTTCAAGTAATCTAATAATTTTCACAAAATTAAACTTATGTACACTTCTGTGTAACAGTGCAGACGTGTCTGGAAATACTGACAAAGCTGCTTCTACATGATCAGCTATCACATTAGATGTAAATGGCTAAATAAGCCTGACCAGTTTCTTTCAATAAAAACACAAATTTTGCTGATTTTACAAAATTTCTGCATAATTCAGTCATTCAGAGTGATTTAATATAAAATGACAGTAGGGAAACTTGCTGACTTCTTTACTGTGGTGGTTAATTTACTATATTATATTATTTACTATATTATATTCTTTACTAAAACCACCAGTAAACCTACATGTCATCTGATTTTGTATGTGTAATACTGATGATGGTAAAACAGTGATAAATCTGCAGTAAAAAAGTTTACTTTGGGGGCGATTTTACTTTACGGCACCCTGCATGTACCTTCTGCCATGAATGTATTTTTAAAAAATGAGGTCAGAAGTGCTCTCAAAACAATTACAAAACAATGTCTCAGGCATCAGGAAACATATTTGAAACTACTGTAATTAATGATCTGTGAGGGGGCATTAAAGTGAGGCATTCAAACTGACTTTCAGTTTTTCTAGAACAGAGCATTTTACATTAAACCACTCAGAATGACCGTGATTACATCTTAACCATTTAATGTTGCAAAAATGTGAAACTTTATTTTGATTCAACTGTTCTGTTTCAGTTGGGTAAATCAGTCGTAGTGAGGAAGGCAGTGCAAAAGGGTACAGACTTAACCCTCAATATGCTGGGAGTTAAAGTGGCAGAACCACAAGGAATACCACCAGAGAAGATCTTCAAACTGGTGGGTAAGAAGATCACAGTGGACCTACAGGAGGATGACACCATCACTTATGATATGATGAAAGACTGATCTTCATTTGGATTTATTCATCATTAGTAAGTTAACAGTCCTGCTTGGACATGTTTTATGAAAACTAGGTATGAACAAGCTTTTATTTCAATGCTTTATTTACATATCATTTCATGGGATGCGGTATATCAACATTGAGTTTAGGTAATTTGAGACTATGGAGCTGATGTTGCTCAAATAGAATTACTGATTGGACTTTTATGACCCTTTGAGCAGGCTTTGTGTTGCAGAAGAAATGCTACTGCAATTATTATATTGGGGCTGGTCATTAGAGATTAACTGTAAACAGGGACACAACATAGAGAACCTCTGGTTTTGTGCTATGGAAGTTTTTTTTAGTATCTGTTTTTTACATTTAGCATGAAATATAATCATTAAATGTGTCTCTTGACAAACTGTGTTTGTTGAGTTTTTTAACTGCAGTTCAGTGGGATCAACATAATAGGTTGCACATAGACAGTGATTGTTGTGGATGATGTTAACATGGTGAATGATCTGAAATGAATCCGTTAATTTCCTTAAGTGCAATTTCCTTAAGCCTGTATAGTATCTTCAAGTACTTTCAAATGTACTTTAATAAATAGTCTATTAAAAATTGCATGGTGTACTGTGCTGTCTCTATCCTGTGTATGTAACAAACAGCCATACAACTTCACTGCATGGTAGACACTAAACCCACAGCCCAACAAATTAACTAACCCACACCCCAACACAATAAAACACAGTCAACACATAGACACATCTTAAACTAACAACAACAGCAGCAAGAACTGTCCTTTTAACAGAGCGGGCGAGGGGGGAGGTGCGCGCTGTGCAGGTTTGCATACCAGGCCCCTAAAGCCCCTTCTGAAACATGGCGGATGACACAAAATTATAAGAACTTGAACAAAAATGAAACAATCAGGAGAGAAATTTCCAGAGTGCTTAAAATTAGAGGTAATGAATACTGTTTTGTGTCACTGATTTAGAAGGATACTTTCTTAACTAGCACTAGGCTGCTCAGTTAGCAAAAAGGCTAAAAGTTATCTAACATGCTAAACAACTTCATCATTAATATCACAGGTATAAATGATTTCCTGTAAAACTACAATATAAAAGTCTCTAAAGAGTGTTACTTGAATGGCTTATGTTCCAAATGTCCGTGTTTCAGTCAGAAGTAGCATGAAACCCAGGCTGAACCTCAAATGGCTCTGTACTCCTTAAATATTGTGAAATGTAAGTTTAGAAATTTTAGATTCTACAGCCAAATAGTGCACTATTTGTCGACTATGGAGGTGGTCGAATCCCAAACAACTATTTATTAGCTATATTATGCACTGTTGGAATGCAAGAGCCAGTATTTAAATTCATACATAGTGCACTACGTAGGCAGCAGGGAGCCATTTGAGATTCAGCCCAGTGTGGGAAGACGGGCACCGGTTATGTGTGCTAAATAAGACTCGTAGTGGTAATTTGGTAACCAGAGTGCTTATGAGTAGTGCTATGCTATATGTTCATTATTATATAACAAAAATTAAGAAGTTCATGAAACGTCCGCAGTGACATACAGTGACGGGAGACTTAGCAGTCCATGGATACTTGGCAATGACACCATACTCTTAACAGAACTACATTTCTTTGGCGAAATACTTGTTTATGACAATTATTATTAATAATATCTTAGATTATTTAGTGAAAAAATGTGTACTATGATATTTTATTTTGGCCACTGTCTTATAAAAGCAATAAGCTACTCGAGGCTGTGCGTTCGTGTGATTTTATCATCGAGAAGGTGCAGCACGAAGCGGAGTAAAACCTCCTTCTCTGTGATAAAATTGCAGTAAAGCACAGCCTCGCGTGGTTTATTGCTTTATAATAAATTGTTCTTCATTTGTAAATTAATGAATGAAATAAACAACATGAACTATCAGTGTTTAACTCTTAAAGAACAGCTCCGTTAGCAGCACTGTCAGCATCTGACAGTATTGTTCAAAACTGCATCACATTTCTGAATGTGGTTTTCTTACATACCATTTAAAGAGACATTACCGGTGAATTATCAGTGTAGTTAAGAATGCATATTCTGTTTGTGTAGAAAAATCACAGGCTACACAATGTAGCTTTAAAAGGGGAACTCCACCTATTTAGTAAAATTCTACATAATTAAATGGTTGAGATGTAAACAAAGTTATTTAGAGGGGTTTGGTGTAAAATGCTCCATTCCAGAGAAACATATAGAGTCAGAAGGACTCGTTTCTGATGGCCTACAGGTTCTGCTCATACCTTAAATTTCATTTTAACGGTCATCATTTGCCCTTCTTGCTTTTCAGATATCTCCAAAGCGTAAGTGCACCTACTTAACTAGTAACGCATGACGGCCCCAAACCAACCCAATGAGTGTCTCCCCATGTACTTCATTCCTCACCGTCTGACTATCTACTGTCCTGCAGCCTGTTGAGTCCAAGGCCGTGCATGTGGAAGTGGAAGTGGCTCTGATGCAGATCATAAGCCAGCCGCCCGTCTGTAAGAACATACTACCACAACTAATCCGAGTGCTCAAACCTGGCGTCTGTCTGTCGACGCTCTAAATTGTGTAATCACTGGTAGTTAACTGAACTTACGATGTAACTGACTGATCACCCGGTGATTAGCTACAAAAACAGAACATCCAGTGACCCAATCTGAAGACCTCTCCTCTAAACACGATGAGCCTTTCTCTCGTTTCCAGGGTCAACATTTCCGGTTTGGGAAGTTCTGTGTAAAATCATTTCCGCTTTTCATTCATTTCCATCTGATGATGAGCTCAGAAAGAAATGGTTAATTGTGATAAAATTCAAAGTAATTCGAAACAGCACGCATGTGTGCAGCGCTGATTTCAACCCGTCGGACATCTACGTTACACCGAAGGGAAAAACATGGGTGAAAAGGGGCGCAGTACCATGTCGTTTCAGTTGGAGTCAACGAGCAAGGGACTCTGTGTATAGCAGAGTGAGGGCCCGCCTCGGAGACTCTACTAATGAGGAGGAGGGGGTGGTGGAGCAGGATATGTCGGGGATAGAGGAGGAAGAACAAGCCAAGAAAGACACTGCATATACAGTGTATATATGAGGCAACCATTACTTACATTGTGTGTGAAATGCTGTTATTAAAATATACCCCTAAAATTTCAAAAACAACCACTGTAGTCCGCTCCCATTTTAATTTTTACACTTTTATTTATTTTCGTTTAGCTTTGTACTACAGTCATATGTGTAGAGTTTTCATGTTCTCCCCATGTCTGCATGGGTTTTTGTTATGGACCAAAATCATGGCTAGTGTACAAGACCCTCAAGACTGGCATCAAAGAACTTCTGTGACCCAGGTGATAGCAGGTGGTTACTGGAAAGATGTGTGGCTATATGTGATACATTCAGTATAAACCTAATAGTGAATTAGCTTATAAAACAGTAAATCTAACTGCGTAAATTAAAATGGGTTTGTGAACTGCAATGTTGTAACAATGGACTGGTTCAACTCTTTCGAACTTCTTTGAAGTCTTTGGATCTCTAGTCTTTGTGGTTCCTTGCTTTTCTTTAAGGACTGGTAACACCGAGCCCTTACATCTACAACATTGGACGCTGAGAAGGAAATCATGTGACACAATAAATCATGTTAGACACCGTTTATTTACTTCTTAAACAGACACATAATTGAAGATCTCTAAATCTGAAGAATACTGAAACTACCTAACATTACTCATCCTGTCTGTGACATTAAGTAAGTTAGCTAGCTAGCTAACTACAACACTGGGAACCAGCTAACGATTTACCTTCATAATCAGAAATAAACTGCTCAAAAAAGAATTTATATCCCTTATTGAGTTTTGCATGTTTGGTCCTCCATAGCTCTTCCACGATTCTGACCACATCGTCCTGCCTAAAGCATGGGAGTTCAGCCAAAGATGGTGAAAAATAAAATGCAGCCATATTCGTAGCGGAGCGGTGCGGAAACCGGAAATAAGTTTACACATAACCTCCCCCGGAACTTGACCCCTCCTCCGTGCGTGAAAAACGCCTATTAGCTCCTATCTGCACTGCAGAAACCAGACAGCAGCGCTCCTGCCTCACGACAACCGCGGGCCTCAGCAGACTAACGCTAGCTAGCTTAGTTTTTTTTTTTACTTTTACTCTATTTTACTCTCAGACTGAACTGGAGATACAGCTGAATACGTTACCATAGATATACATACCGCTCGTTACTCTTCACCTTTTAAACGCAGGGTTTTAAGTTAGCTGACTTACCCGTGTAGAACTCCTCACTCCACTCGCAGTGACGTTATTCTCTTTCGACGAAAAATCTTCGGTTTTCAGAGCTGTAATCTCCGATGTCGGCAGGCACACAACGCCATAATCTGAGAAAATAATGTAAGACAGACATTGCGAAGAGATTAGAATAAACTTTTTTAACAGTTATCTAACGTTAACGCTGTGAGTACGGTGTATTAAAACGGTCAACTCGAACGCTTGGAGAAAGCGCGCGCTGCTGCACTGAGCCCACAGGGGGCGGGGTCAGATTGCTCAGCTCCTCCTCTGTCGTGTTTTAATTAGTCAAAAATTCCGTCAGTCTCTTGTATTTACTCTCTTGGTTTTTGGAGCTCAGTACAAAGCTACATTAACCTTAATGATCTAAAACCTGTTTCCCCGGCCGAGTAGCGCCGTGCGGCGGGTCTCGACTGTTGCATGTTCAATAAAAGAGCATTTGTTTTCTAGTGCTGTACGTGTTTTCTGCGTTTTCTATTTCTATGCAGAAGTGACAATAGCAAAATTCAGTTCTCTGCTGTGATCTCTGATCTCCGACTAAAGATGGTCTTTGCAATTACTAATGATTTTACCAATATCATTATTTTCATCCTGCTCTGTATTTTGAAAATACATCTGTGTGTAAATGGTCATTATATGTTATGTTATGTTATGTTTGTTTGTTTGTTTGTTTTCTTTTGGATTTTTTTCTTGTTTTTTTCATGCCTAGATGATAAAAGTGGCAAATGTCTCATTGTATGAAGTGCATTTTTTTTTCTTTTAGATTACTGCCATTTTCAATAAGAAAAATCATGGAATCTTTTTTCATGTACTTTATCATGTATGTGGTAAAGGGTTAAGGACCAGTTAATCACATCATTGAGTTCAAACATTAATAGTCATGCAGACTTCTCTTATACATTCATGTCTTATACATATTTTAAACCTTTTTCTATTTGGTGATATATTTATAGTTATGCTTATGCATTTTTCCCCAATAATTTGTCTCAGTCTGCTCTGTTATATGTCTGTATTTACGGTGAAGGAAAAACGTTTTAAAGGCTTTTCTGTGCCTCTGTACCGCGGGCGTTTGCCGACTATGAGGCCAGCACGACTCTGACGTCACTGACATTAGACGGCATGAAGCAGAACGTTTTAACAGCCAACGCCGCTCACTGACCGAGACTGTGAGCCGAGTGAGAACGAGCTGCCAACTTCGGGCCGGAGTCGTTGGCTGTCTGGGATCTTTATTTCTTATAACTAAGTCTCATACCATGAACTTTTTTATACTAATAAAATGTACACGAATGTCTTTGTAGGCATTCACTTCTACAGTTTTGGTAAAGAAATTGCAAAAAAAAATCTTGCCTAGGGATAAGATAACCACTTATTATTGAAAAACGAACCGCACAGAGAGGTCTAGTGTTGTTATCTTTTTAACGGTTTATAATTTACAAAGAAAACTACAACGGGTTTTACATGTATTCGTCAAAAAAGCGAGAGAGTCGGGCTCTAACAGTTTTGGAAGTCGATATAAACCGATATAAACCACAGCTGAGTGCGGGTGAGGAGACATGAAGAAGGAGACCTGATCTGTGTACTTTTACAGCCATCTAGCGGTGAAGCGCTGCCTGTGCTCTTCACACCGGAAGAAGAAAACTCAACTCAAGTCAAGTCAAGAGGCTTTTATTGTCATTCCGTCTATGTACAAGTACACAGTGGAGTGAAATTACGTTCCTCCAGGAACAACAAGGTGCAGCAAGGAACAAAAAGTACAAAGGGCGAACGTGCAGACATAAGAGTGCAAACAAAAAATTAAGCTAGAAACAATACAATAAATACGATAAATTAAACAGACATTAGACACAGTAAACAGACAGGACAGTGCAGCGCCGACACAGCACTCATTTCTGAGCATGAGGTAGTGGAATAAGGTGCAGAGGTATTTAAGATGCTGTGATCTGTGAGTTCACGCAGTCAGATAACATACGTGAGCACAGCGGTTACTGAGGTAGTACACAGTGTAAACACAGTAAACTCACTGGATCTGAGCCGCTCGCTGCAGTTTCAGCACTTTTCTGTAACGTGTTTTAGCGCAGATCAACATCTACGTGAAGCTGAATTCTGTACAAAACTTTAGATTTGTAGTAAAACCGTGATGATGTCAGTCTCCATGGAGACAGAGAGGAAACGGCAGCCTTAGTTTAGTTTACAGCTGGACTACAAATCACTGAGTTCAAGAGAAAGAAAACAGATTCCGGATTAAAAGAGATTTTGAGGTTAAATCCATCAGTGGCGAGTTGTACCGATCATATTTACAGAATATCTCCACAGCCTCTTCCTCACTGGCCTCTCTCTGCATGTCCCGCCCTGCGTGTCTCCCACAATGCAACAGTGAAGCTTTTCTGAAAGTGTTTTAAGAGATTTAAAGGGGAATGGCGGTGAGCGAAATGTTAGGATTAGTAAAATGTTTCTTCAGTACAGACTCATTAAAACATGACGTGTACATTAGTTCTCCTGCTGTTTAAGTACTTCGTGAGCTTCACCGTCACTGGGATGTTTGAACGTTTCGGTCTGTAGCTCAGCGTCTCGGTTGTTTCTCCAGCTTTGCGCAGTGGCAGTATCGTAGCCTATGAGGTTTATCCGAGGCGCGATTATTGCTAGTTGAAAACTTTACCCAATACCCCGCCTTGACGACTTGAAATATAGTCGGCTATGGCAATTTTTGACGGTCTCTACGGAGACTGATTGATGTGTTAAAATGATAGAAAAACGCATACTATAGATAGAGTCAGTATGTAAGGATATAATATGGGATGATAACTAAGTAAACAGTTGCATATGTTACGGTAGTTTGGATGTTATCAGTGTTAGTTTGTCATTAAATAAGCTTGCAGAAGCTAATTTACCTGTTTTCTTAATAAATTAATTGATTGTATTGACATGTGGCACTGAATTTAAGGTGGAATTGCATGTAAGCACTGAATTGAAGGTATCAGTAAATTTAAGGTGGTAGTGAATTTAAGGTGGCGCTGAATATAAGGTGGAACTGCATTGAAAGTGGCACTAAATTTTAGGTGGAATTGCACGTAAGGTAGCACTAAATTTAGGGTGGCAGAAAATTTAACGTGGCTGTGAATTTAAGGTGGAACTGCATTTAAGGTAGCACTGAATTTAAGTTCTGATTACTTTTAAGGTGGCACTGAATTTAACTTGGCGGTGGATTTTTGGTAGCAGTTTAAGGTAGCACCTAGCAACACATTACTATCAACCTTGGATAATGTAGCAACCGCCTAGCAACATTTTAGCAACACTTTAACAACCATCAACAGTCTTCCACCATTTTAACGTTTTCAAGTGATTGGCTGGCTTTTTCAAGCCGACTTGAAGTTCGTTCATAAACTTTCCATTTCTAGTTCGTAACTTACTGTTCTTTGTAATCTTATTAATCTACGTTTAAAAAATAAAATGTTTCTCGTCCCGCAGTTTTTGAGCTAGAATCACAAAACTTTGTAGAATCATAGAACCTATACCCGATTAGGTTGCTTGTGCTTTTCTAAGCTATAAAACGATCGTTCAAAGACAATAATTTTTTCCATAGGAAATGAATGGCGGAATGTTTGGGACATTCAAGTCTGACTGCCACAAGTGATGTCACAATGCACATCTCTCACACAGACACTCATACACAGTACACAGTCTCACATACTTACAGCCTAATGCACAACAATATCAAATAATTCATTTAGGGTGCCAGTACATTTAAGGTAGCAGGAGATTTAAGGTGGCAGTAAATTTATGGTGGCAGTGGATTTAAGGTATCATTAAATTTAAGGTGGCAGTGAATTTAAGTTGACAATAAATTTACGGTGGGAGAGAATTGAAAGTGGCAGTGGATTAAAGGTATCTATAAATTTAGGGTAACAGTGTGATTAATAACATAGCAACCACCTAGCAACCCTTTAGCAACAACTTGGGACACCATAGCAACCACCTAGCAACACTTCAACAACAACTTTGAATACCATAGCAACTGCTTAGCAGCATCTAAGCAACACTCTAGCAATCATCAACCGTTTTCTATCATTTTAATGTTTTAACAAAATTAGCTGGCTTTTTCAAGCCAATTTAAAGTTCGCTCACAAAATTTCCTTTTCTAGTTATTTTTATTTTTCGTTTGCTGGAGTCAAGTAAATAAGAGAAAAACAACCCACAAACCATAGACAGTGCACAAAATCTGACTTGTAGGGTTTTATGGTAACGCATGTCCTCTCAAGAGCAGGGGCGAGATGACACTCCCAGCCTGCCTTGCTGGGGGAAATAATCTGATAAGTCTGATGTTTACATAATTAGCTGAGTTATTTATAGACCACTGTAGTCGATTTTGTAGTCGGCGCCATGCTCTAATGCCCATATTAGGAACTCCGGGTCCATTTCTCTACGGCCAGAATGAATAGGGTTTTCGAATAATCGCCTCTGTCGCCCCCTGTGTTAAATAAAAATGTTCAGAATCTGATACGTTTTGTTTCATGAACATTCTTCTCTCCAACACCACTGGATCCTCCGAATTACGAGGTCGTTAAAGTGTTGAAATATGAATATTGCCACATTTGAGCTAAAGCTACTGCGCATTGAATTCACGTCATTAGACCGGCAGCCTCCTTAAGCAGGTTTTGTCAGTGTACATTTCCATGTACAGACTGAGGGCAGATGAAAGAAGTCAGAACAAAATCAGCAGGTTTCCCTGCAGTTCTCTGTTCTTCATCCGATGCTCTCTGAAACACAATAGATCTTTCCTTTTAACTTGATTTGAAAAGATCTACAAATTTACCTCCCTGATAAACTGATTTAGGCTCTCAGAATATCCTAACTAATTATTTTAATGCTGGCAACATTTTTCTAAGGACATTTTCTCAGGACATTCGCCAACTTTTTGTTCGACTTTTCCCGTTCCACCTTAAATGGTCCAGCAGGCACATTCTGAACTATCGAACAAGCAGCCGGCGAAAAAGAAGCTGACTTCAGCTTCACGGAGGGTTGAAAGGCACGATATGAGGAGGTTTCTCTATTTCATTAACTTATTTTTGCTGTTTCACAAAACTAACAGGTCAGTGTTTTGTCTCGTTTGCTAGTGTTTGTGATAGCTAGTCACAGCTGCTGCACCATATAAGGTGGAACGGGAATATTCAAACAAAAAGCTGGCGAAAAAGCAGCTAAATTCAGCCCCTTTTCAAAAATACAACACGGGTAGTATTTTTGAAAAGGGGTTTTAGCCTATCAAAATACCTAGAGGTTTTATTTACTGGTATACGTGTAAATATGCGCTACTAGAAAAAAGTACACAGGAAAAAACGTATCGGGTTCTGAACATTTTTTAACACAGGGTGAGATAGAGGAGATTTTTCGAAAACACTGTTCATTCTGGCCATAGAGAAATGGGGCTTAGACCCGGAGTTCCTAATATGGGCATAACGAGGACTACAGAACGCACGACTACAGTGGTCTATTGCGTTTTTACAACAACGGTCTTGTTAATTGTTTAATTGTTGCGGTGTTTTAATGTTACTTATTATGTCCTTGTTCACATAGTTCTATTTTAGTGCGTTTCCTTTACGGATTTTTTCTTCATTTTTTAATAAAACAAAATACCCTTTTCTAAAATTTAAAATCTCTCTCCCCCTGATAGTGCTGAGAAATGCTTCGTAGCCTCGGAGTATTAAACACATTGACGGCTTGTGTCTGTTTTTAGTTCATTTCACTAATCACAGTGTTACAATGAATACCTCTATATAAATCAGTATTCTTGTCAAGTTGATACAGTAGCATTTACCTGTTTTGTGATTGGCTGCATTACCAGCCACAGTTGACTGCTGCAGTAAGAGGATATGACAATCAAGTGATCACTGTAGAGGAAGACGACTGAAAGAACAAGAATGTGTGTTCGGGAACAATTAAAGGTGATTTATGTGCTCATGTGACTTTAGATTCACTTCAGATTGACAGTGCTTGTGTAACTGAGCGTGAGAAAATAGGGAAGTGAAGGTTTTTATTGGCTTTTATTCCGTCGTTTCACTGGTTTGGGGCTGAGTTCATTCCGCCGCTTTCAAACAATTTCTTCGCCTTCGCGAACACCCTCTCTTAAATCAGCAGTGTTTGGTGCAGATAAGTTTCAGTAATGACACACAAACTTTGAATTTTACTTGAGGATATAATGTAGCTAAAATGCTGCTTAGATTCAAAATTCAGCGTTCACTGCAATTAATGCAGCTGAAATGCTTTTGAAGGTTAAAATACAAATATTAATATAAAGTAATTATTGCAGTACATTCAAAACTCAAAAGTTGTGTATGATTGCTGAAACTTACCTGCACCATGCACAATTGTTTGTAGTGCTGGGTGTAATACAGCTGAATGCTCAATACTATTAGGACAATTATTGGCAAGTACATTTTAGTTACAGGTTAATTCAAAGTCCTTTTTCTAAATTAAAGTGGTGTGTATTTCTAACCATAATTTAGAGCAAATAACACAGTTAATCAGATGTGCGTGGACACAGTGTTTATGGAGCTGTTGACGTTTTATTGTCTGGCGGTGTCTATTGTTAGCATGAACAATTAAAATATGTACTTAAATGCACTGAAACGCTTTGGAGGAAAACAGAGGCGTGTGTATGGATGTAGGTGTGGTCTAGAAGTGCATGATTTTTCTACCACTGAAAAACGTGTCTCAGTTCTATGGTATTAACACAAAATAGCAGTACGTTAAATGTCACCCAAACTGCAAAATAGCGGTACGTTAAATGTCACCCAAACTGCAAAATAGCGGTACGTTAAATGTCACCCAAACTGCAAAAGAACAGGTGTGCATCACTCTCTGTGGTCGGACTGTCATGAATGTGTAAGTCTTTACTGACTACCGTAGTCCGATCAAATGTTATTAGCGCCGAAAAGACGAACATCGAAAATAAAACTAACTTTACCGTGGTCGAGGCTGGTATGCGTCAAAGTTGTAGCACCAGCTGATCCAGATATTGTTTTATTCAGAGGATCTTCTGTTCTTAGCAAGTATATTTCAGCCAGATATCAAACTCCGCTGTAGCATTAGTTTTTCCTGCTTTGCTCAACAACGGTATCCAGAAGGAGCCCCACGTTTCCATATAAAACATATTAAAAGATCCTAAGCGATACCAACTTTATTTCGTAATAAGATTTAAATCCGAACACATACAGCGTACGCATACGGTGCATTCATAACTTAGATTTATTGATCTCTACCCAACCTTTTCTTGCCCAAGTCTAATGCTTGTAATATCTCTTTTCACACCCTCGCCTGGGGTTATTAATCAGGAAATAAACCTGGGTGACGGTGACTGTTACTCTCATAACCCAATACCTACCCAACCTGCTGCACAGTTTGCATGACTAAGACATACTAACATGCATACTAACAATGCACGCGAAATTCTTGTCTTACTGTAACTAAATATGGACCGGTTAAGCATACACAAAGCATCATGGGTACCACAGCGGGCTCAGAGTTAAACTCGTGAACCACCTTCTTCAGCCATTCTGCTGTCAGCTATGGAGAACAATATGAAGCCAGCAGCTAGTGCAAGTAAAGATACTTCTAAAGTGGCAAATCCCCACAAAGCAGCGCTTATTCTGGCTAGAGGGGGAAGCAAAGGCATCCCCCTGAAGAATATCAAAGTCCTAGCTGGAGTTCCCCTGCTTGGATGGGTTGTGAGAGCAGCGCTGGATTCAGAGCTCCTGGACAGGTAGGAATATGCACATTTCAAAGTTGTACACTCTTAGTAAACCATCTAACGATGGTTCTTTAGTTAACAAAATGGTTCTGTTTAGAACCATGAACACTCAAAGAACTCTTTGTATGATTTAAGGGCTCTTTGCATCATGAAATGGTTCTTCAGACTGACGAAGAATGTGCTGTAGATGGTTCTATATAGAATCTTATTGGAAAGTGTTCTTTATAGCACCAAAAAGGGTTCCAATGTTGTTACAAGCCAAATAAGATGATACTATATAGAACTTTGTTTGCTAAGAGTGTGGATTTAATTAGCATGACAGCTTTACATCATACATAGCCAAACCAATTACGTGGTGACAGGCAATGCAGTGACAATATAAAATAATAAAACCTGTGTATCCATCTCATTTATTGCCAAATTGACAGCAATTCAGTTTTAAAGATGGTCATGTCAAATAGATTCAGTGAGTTGTCACGAGTCAGTATTGTGCCTACAAAATGGTGCCTGGCAATCATGAGAGAAGGGCAGTTAGATGTTCATTTGCATTAGGATTTATTATTATGTGGAATAAGGGCAATACATCAGCTCTCCACTGTTTTAATACAGCCCACACCTTCTCACAAATCATACAAATGAGAGCAGTGAACAGGCAGAAGGAGCAAAAACAAACTTACAGCATTAAAATGGAAGTATTTTGACAAAAGTAACAAACATAATGCATGAAAATGCCTCCATTGCAAAGACAAAAAATCCCCTCAAAGAAGTACTGAAATTCATAAAACATATTTTTAAATTGTCATTTTTAATGATGTATCATTTGATGACTTTAAAAACTTTTTTTTTCACAAAGAAGGTGACAAAGTTTCAGAACAAAGGTTCACTTTTTAATGTTAAACAGTTTATAGAATTTAATTGAATAAACTTTATTTATTCACAACTGGGCATACATATGACGCAATCATCTAACATAGAGACATCTACAGACAACTAAAGACAGAAATCTTCATAAGTAAGATAAATAAATAAAACACATAGTGAGCCCATAGCTCACCATAGTTTATTTTGAGTTTATCAGAAGGTTAGATTCAGTGTATACTGAAATTATGATTTCTATACAGGTTTTATTATTTATTATAGAAAGTACCTTCAGTCTATTTTTTTTTTTTTTGGTTGTTTTTTGTTTTTTTTCAGATTTTATAGATTTTTAGAGCTGTTTACAAGCTGCATTTGAAAAAGTGAGACCAGGGTGTGATATGTGTTCTCTCGTCATCAGTGTGTGGGTGTCCACAGACCATGATGAGATTGAAAGGGTGGCCAAACAGTGGGGGGCTCAGGTGATTCGCCGCAGTCCTGAGGTCTCCAGAGACTCCTCCAGCTCACTTGACACTATACAGGAGTTCCTCAAACTGAGGCCAGGTACATTCATTTAGCATAATACTTTCTTTGGCATCTTGTAACCAAAAATACTACACAACAGGTTAGTAGAAATAACCACATGCTTAATTTCTAACAATTAAAGGGAGATTTTACCAATTTTTCAACAATTCGAATAACTATATGGTTAAAATGCAAACAAAGTCAATCAGAAGGGTTTGATGTGAAATCCTCTGTTCTAGAGAAACTTACACAGTAAGAATTGTTCACAGTGGTGGTGATAGGAGCCAGACGTCTAAATAGTTTAATGTCTCTCAAAGTTTCCTCACAGAAAATTATTACATGAAATGGTTATGAATGTGCTTCCTGATGCCTAAAATTGTTTTATGACAGCTTTGAAATATAATTCATTAAAAAAATATATTTGTACACATATCTGATAACATATAGGGTGTTGTACAGCAAAATAGTTGCCAAAGAAAACTGGTGTTTTTTTTTTATTTTTTTTATTTTTATTTTTATAGATTTATCACTACTTCACCATCATTAACCTTAACAATAAAACTCAGAAGATGTTTAAATTCACTTGTCATTTTGGATGGTTAATAAAATGGCTATAATTGGGTTGTAGACATCATGTCCCCTGGTTCCTATCAACACCGCTGTAAAGGAATTGGTCAGTAAGTTTCTCTACAATGAACCATTTCACCATCACCACTCTGAATGTCTTTGTTTACATCTAAACTACTGATTTATAAAGAAATTTTGAAAAATTGGTGGAATTTCCCTTTACGTGCAAGTCACTATTGAAATATGCCTGTGATTATATCTGTTCATGTGTATTTACTTAGTCATTCAATAGATGACTGCTAACAGTGTCAAACACTAGCTGCCATTCATTTAGCTGCCATTCAACAAGCATAACTGGAGTTAAAAGACTAATATTATCGCAGAATAGAGAGCGATCTGTAACAGCTGACGGGCTACTAGTCTGTGGTGATGTAGGTGTTAATTCAGCTATTTAAAAATAAAATAAATAATTAAATTGAAAAACAAACTTTTTTCCCCCTTCACATCAATATTCTCGTTCATAACACTCGTGTACAGCTGTATGCAAAATTTTGGGCACCCCTGGCCAAATGTTTTTTAACATGTTTTGTTGATTTTCTAAGTGAAAATAATTAACATAACAAATCACATAAGTAACATAATAAAGCGAATACCACATCCTCTATAGAAACACACTTTTGCACATTTTAATATACAATTACTGTTTATTCACTGAATTAAGATATTGCGGGACAAAAAATCATCAAACGTAAAATGTGGTCTCTGTAAAAGTTATAGTACATTTTATAATTTGTTTTATTTAGTCTTAAATAAGTTAAACACAGCAAATACATAAAAATTGTGAACAAAAAGTTGCAGAAAAATGTCATATTGATGTGTGTTCTCTGTAGAGGATGTGTTCACTTATTCTCACTTAGAAAATCAACAAAACATTATTTCACCGGGGGCATTTTTGCATACTTCTGCAGTTATCTGACAAATAGTTATTATGCATCAGTCAGAACTAATCCAGCACTCAGACCTTTCCACACTGTCTTCCAGAGGTGGACATTGTGTGTCATATCCAGGCCACGTCTCCATGTCTGCACCCTTACCACATCAAAGAAGCATTACAGATGATCACTGATGAGGGCTATGACTCTGTGTTTGCTGTGGTGCGCAGGCACCAGTTCCGCTGGTCGGAGGTGAAGAAAGAAGGTATGACAGAAACCTCTCCAAATGAAATGAGTGACAGATGTCCTGTTTGTACTGCAAACATCATTGCAATACATTTATCACGCATGCTGCAACAAGGTTGTGTTATTTTATTGCAGTGATTCAAAGCAAATGACAATAAAAGAAAACAAGCAAGGAGTGTCAGTTGTGGCTCTATAGATTAGATAGAGTGGCCTGGTGCAACTTCACTGTCTAACAAGTAGCTTGATAAAAAGGAGTAAAACCAACAATCCTTGATGACTGGACAATTCCACTCTTTATAAGTAACCAGGACCTTTCCGCACAAAGGCCTTCATCAGGGTTGAAGAGAATAACGATTGCATTGTTGTTTAAATACACAAAGAACAGGAAGTACAATTTAAAAACACTATAGATTCCATTAGTGTCTTGGTTGAAAACATGATCTATTTACTGTATTCATTCAATTTGATTAGTAAAAATATCTTGTAAATATCAGCAAAATTGAGCTCACTTAGACTGAGCATGTTCAGAGGACTGGTTCCCTCTGTTTTTAATCTTGTTGCAGAGGGTAAGAACCCCACACCTCTGAACCTAAACACTGCTAAGAGGCCCCGGCGGCAGGACTGGCCTGGAGAGATCTGTGAGAATGGATCCTTCTACTTCACCAAGCGAGAAATTCTAGAGAAGGGCCTTCAGCAGGTATTGAGACATCCGCTATGTTTCATACACTGTTAGAAATAAAGGTTCTGTGCAGGTACATTTTTGTTCATCAAGAACAAACAGTGTAAATGTACCTCAAAGGTACAACAGTGGTTTAAGGTCCAATTGTATACCTTAAATAAATTTTCCCAGGTGAAAAGTACGTATTTGTACCTTTTCATAACCTGATGTTTTAAAACAGAACAATAATAAAATATAAAATAAAAAGCGAGATGGGGTGTGGAGTCAGTACAACTTAGGAAATATAATTTAAATGGATTATGGTACAATTATGTTCCCTGACTAAGGGTACTGAGATGTCCCTTTGAGGGTGCCAACTCAGTGACAAAAGGGGTACTGCCCCAGTGACATATTTTTTTTTCTGCTAAAGTCTTAGGCCATCTGAAAAAATTATATGTAACGATGCTTATCTGGGCAGCAAGTATTTGTTTGAAAAAGTGCTAACATTAGAATAAACACAAATGTGTGTTATCTTAACCATTTCTGAAGCTCTCCTCAGTATTTACAAAAACCATCCAACACCTAGTTCAGCTAATCAGTCCTTCGTTAAATTAAATCAGGTGTGCTGCTGATGGAAATTTACAAATTCATGCAATGACTGGATTGCAGCAAGAAGTCAAGACACAGTGCTGATACACAATTCTGATATTACATACCGGAATAAACTATGAAAACAATTCAAACTAACAGAATGTGAAATAGCATATATATTGATTAAGATTAAAGTCTTGTCTGCATAAATAATGTGGCTATACATATCCTTCCTTCTGCAAGGGTGGGAGAATTGCCTACTATGAGATGCTTCCTGAGCACAGTGTGGATATTGATGTGGACATAGACTGGCCTATAGCGGAAGAGAGGGTCCTCAGGTAGGGGGAAAAAAAAAGCACTAGGGGGTCTTTAAAGTAGGCTATTAAACATTTACATACCAAAACTGAAATAAGCTTGACATAAATAAGGAAATGTATGAATAATCAAAAAAATACAATTTTGACGTGTTTACAGTGCACTTCATTGTAAACTAGGGTGCACAGCATACAGCACAATGTCTGTGGTTGGATTAAAATTTAACTTGGATAGTTAATAGAAGTCCTGCTGTCATCATGCTCATATCAGGAACTCTGGGTCTAAGGTGAACGTCGCCAGATCATCTGAATTATAAGCCGAAATATGAATATTCCTACATGCAATAGATATGAGCACTGAACTGACTTTATAAGACTGGCAACCTCAGCAAAATGTCAGATGTGGTAGTTAAGTTAACTTTTTAGGACCAAGTGACACGCTGAAAAATGTATGCAGGACAAAACATATCGGCCTTTGGAAAATTTTTGTTTAACACTGGACATGAGATTTTCAGATTTTCAAAACGTCAGTTATCTTTCTTATAGAGAAAACCTGCTTAGACCCAGAATTCTAAATATGTGCATGACGCCGACTACAGAATGATACACCATTTTAAAGAGCTATTTAGATAAATTTGCATGTAGAATAGTTTACAGGAAATGCAATTCTAGGGCCTGGAATTCAGTTTTATAAACGTCTAAATGAGTAACAAATCTGTGTTGTTATACATACCTAACACATGAAATTATAGCGTGTTACAGCATATATGTTCACTTTGAGACACTTATCAGCCGCACAAAGACAATCTATTACTGGTATTCGCAGATTTGGTTACTTTGGACGGGAAAAGCCAGGAGAGTTCAGGCTGCTGCTGTGCTCCTTGTCTGGCTGTTTGACTGATGGACAGATATACTATTCAGTCTCTGGAGAGCAGCTGGTGTCCATTAACTCTCGTGATCTCACTGCCATACGCATGCTGCAAAATGAGAACACAGAGGTGTGTATGTGCGTGCGTAGGTAAGCTGGGGTTCTGGGATAGAAGCAGGTGTGTCCTTGTATAGCACTGTAACAGCTTTTTATCTTATTTTATGATCTGTTGTAATTTTCCATCATAATATAATGTAACATTTTACAGCTACTTCTGTCATTGTAAGAACTTGCACACAATTTGAACAAATAAAATTACAAAAAATCTTTTACGACCCCAAATCAAAAGGTTGGCAGAGTACCTTAAATTACTTTTGACCTGTATTACATTGAAACAATACAACACATTAGACAGAACACAATATAGCAGCACATTATTTGATGTTTTGCCTCATGAATTGTATTTTCTTATTTTTCAAAATAAACACTTCATTTTAATTTTGATTTTTGCAACTTCCATTTGTGGATGTAACTACATAATATAGTGCTTGACATAATCCTGAGCCCATGTGATTATAGTGCTTAAAAAACAAATGACGTTTCTTGTTGCAGTGCTGTCCAAGGGGTTAGAGAGCACAGTTATTAGCTTGCATCCTTGCCCCTTATACACTGAAGTTCCTCAAGATTCCTTAAATCTTTTAAATATGTTATCCACCTAGGGGACAAAATATCCATTAACATTATTTTTTCTACATTTCAATAATTTTCTCACACATTTGCTGGCAAAATGGTGATCCTCTGCCCATCTTTACTCAACAAGGCCTTTCTTGGCTGCTGCTTTTGTACCAAATCATGATTACAAACACATATTGGCATCATCTATTTTAAATCACTTTTTTTTATTTTACCTCATTATTAGCTCTAAATTGCCCCTACCACAGCGTTTTTTTGGAATGTGTTGCAGGCCTGAATGGCAGGAATGGCTGTACATTCACAAATGAAATGAAGTTGACCAGACAACACATGAAATACCTTGTGTCCATCCTGTCTGCAGTAAAGCACAAATCAAACTAAACTGTAGAAATCAGTGCTTTCTTGTTTTATTTGCATTTTCCATTCTGTGCCCAGTTCTGATTTGGGATTGTAGGCATACTGGCCCTTATTCATCAAAGTTACGTACTTTGTTGCTAAATTACAAAACTGCAGTAAGATGATAAAACAAGCGGTGAGTGCAACTGATGAATCAGCTTTAGTGTGTGCAAACAAGTGCGTGCAAACAGCGCCTGCAAACAAGAATCTTATTCACACATCGTTTGCAGCGGACACGGCCCAAATGGCCTCATAAACATAGCAGTTTCATGAAGCATGGCCTAATTTATGCAGATGTTTCAGATGGCACAGTGATTGTGTATGTAAGTTTCTGTGTATTTTTAGATGGGTGTACATATTTACTATTAGCAGTTTTAAATGGATGAAAAAGTCTGTAAATGGAATGTATAGTCGCACAATTTGTTTATTATGCACGTAAAACAGTTGCAGCCACTTCAGTACAAGGATTGCTGTGTGCAAAGATATTAGTATTAATATTTGTTATTTTCTATTTTTACTGTTATTGCTGATATTATCAATGTTAGTGACAATAATTTTTAATTGTTCAACTGCAGACCAGGCATTACTCACACTGTTAAATTTTACGTTCAAATTTACAAACAGTTCTACCAGATGTGAGTTTGATCGTACAGATATGCTAAAGATGAAACTGGGGAATAACTGGTGGTGAAATTGGCATGCACTTATTTTACGATCAGAATCGGATGTACGAAACTTTGATGAATAGGGCCATTGTTACTATCGAAAGCTCATATCTCTGAAATGTATACATCTAACTTTATAGAGAAAAGAAAGAATGTCTTAACTTTAGATTAAGAAGATTTCATTCCAAGTTTTTTTGGAACATTTCTATTGGCCCATTTATCATGAAATGCATACATTGTGTAGAAGGCAGCTGACATTTTCAAATGGTGTAAAAAAACAAACAAACAAACAAAACAGACAATAGAGGTTTTGATATGACAGCAACAATATTTACTTCATGTATATTTACTTCATCATGCTTATTATATGTCTGCTTATGTTCCTAATGCATGCTAGGTGATCCTGATTTCTTCCAGTGGTGACCCAGTGCCAAAGGCCCTGGCAGAGAAACTTGCCCAGGATGCAGGCTGCACCCTCATGTACGGAGTGGAACGTAAGCAGCCTGAGGTGGAGCATCTGATGAATGAACGAGGGCTGCAGTGGAAAGATGTAGCCTATCTAGGTGTGGCTCATAGGTTTCTATATGGTGACAACTAACCACCAAATGCCAAGCAGTGGTAGCTGTAAGACACTGTTTGTTAGCATAGTTGGCTTGAGTTAATTTCTGAACACTTATGCCAACTCCTGTTCTACAGTCAGCTGCACACCGTGTAAATGTGCAGTTAAATACAATAATACTGCTTCTGCAATGTATAACCATCTTAAAATTAAGCATCCAGTGCTAACCAATAACACTGGTAGTAGCCAGACGGAACACACTGGGAACAGGCATGCTAGCATCGTGGAGTTTGTCCACTCATGGACAGAAGAAGACGACATAAAACAAATTTGTACGTCAGCTTTATTGTAAAATATATTTGATCACTATCTGCTATTTCTGGAGAGAGGTTCAGAAACATATTTCACTTTTGAGCCAAGCTACATAATATCTATGGAGTTAATTTTGTGCCAAAATGTTTGAGAGAAGATCATGATGTTAGCAAGAGGAATGTTACAGTTTGAGAGGACAGCGATTTTCTGAGCGCGCAGCTACTGAACTTGAATGCACTTGTCAGCACAAAGTGTGCAAGTATACACCTTCAAATTGCTCAACAAAACACTCTGGTTTCATTCAAAACGTGAAAATCTGCATAATGTCTTTCCCTTTCAGAGCTCTTACGTGCAAAACACTCCGGTTTTCACTCAAAACTGGAAAACTTGCTCAGTCGTGCTCTTCATCTTCAAAACTCATACATGTGTGCAAATCAGTTTCTGCTCTCAGCTCCACATCTGCTCACTGTAACATGTCTGAACGTTTGTGTCAAAACTCCAGCCAATCAGAGCTGTCGAAGGGCCGTTCCTGCCAGTGCACCAATCATGGCATCTTTTCTTAAGCAGCTTTATGCCAATAGGTCATGGTACGTTCGTGCCTGTGGTATTGAGTGGGCTAGTGTGCTTGTAGCCTCGACATTAGATAGATGGTTTATAGCTTTCTAGTATCAAATTAATACAGATGATTTATTAGTAATACTCTGTCATAAATAATAACGTATTAATCTAACATTGGTAACTTCAAATAAATAGCTTAACATTAATCAACTAAGCTGACGTTAGCAAGGTCCCTTTGAATGTAGCTAACAATGTCTAACAGCAGTCTACTGAAAAGTCTTAACTCTCTTATAGCGCTTGTCTTCATAGGCTCACCTTTATCTTGTATAATGGCATCATCAAAAACAATGCTGATGCTGTGCAGTTTTATGTGGAGAAAAAGAACTCTTTTCAGTGAGTATAGGTTGTTATGTAGTTCATCCTGTTTTGTTTAGACATAATACTATACTTCTTTTCTAAGGCCCATACATAATGTTTTTTCCTGTTGTTATTTAGCACCCATCAACAGTAGGTTGGTTTGAAGCCAAATGTCAGTGTGTTTTGATATCCTAAACTTAGTGTACAGGATATTAACTGCATTACCACATTGAAATGCTGACAACAGATGATAAGTCAGCCAATTAAGCTTTTTAACAGTTTCAGAATCATCCGGTTTTTATGTTAGGATTTTAGAGTATACTGCTTATTCAAAGGGATTGGTGGAAATCCAGAGATGGTAGCAAAGAGCTGAGAATGAGAAGAAATATCCCTGATAGTTTGTGTGCTTGATATTTTTAATCAATGATTTACAGTAACCAATGTGTGAACATCATACAGAGGAAAATACATTATGTGTGGGCCTTAGAAAACAGTATTATGTCTAGCAAACAAAACAGGATGAACTATATTACTCCCTGTACTCACTGACAAGAGGTTTATGTCCATATAAAACTGCACAGCAACAGTATTGTTTTTGATGATGCCATTATACAAGATAAATATACAGGATTAACAAGATGAGCCTATGCACACAAGCACTATAGGAGAGTTAGGACTTTTCAATGGAATACTGTCAGAAATTGTTAGCTACATTCAAAGAAACCTTGCTAAGGTCAGCTTAGTTGATTAATGTTAAGCTATTTATTTGAAGTTAGCTAACGTTAAGCCTCTGGTAGGAAACAAATGGCCGAGCTACCAATGTTAGTTAGATTAATACGTTATTATTTATGAGAGAGTATTACTGATAAATCATCTGTATTAATTTGATACTAGAAAGCTAGAAACCATCTATCTAATGTCGAGGCTACAAGCACACTAGCCGGCTCAATGCCACAGCCACAAACGTACCATGACCTATTGGCATAAAGCTGCTTAAGAAAAGATGCCATGATTGGTGCACTGGCAGGAACGGCCCTTCGACAGCTCTGATTGGCTGGAGTTTTGACACAAACGTTCAGACATGTTACAGTGAGCAGATGTGAAACTCGAGAGCGCGCTGTGGAGCTGAGAGCAGAAATGATTTGCACACATGTACGAGTTTTGAAGGTGAAGAGCACGACTGAGCAAGTTTTCCAGTTTTGAGTGAAAACCGGAGTGTTTTGCACGTAAGAGCTCTGAAAGGGAAAGACATTGTGCAGATTTTCAAGTTTTGAATGAAACCAGAGTGTTTTGTTGAGCAATTTGAAGGCGTATACTTGCACACTTTGTGCTGACAAGTGCATTCAAATTCATTAGTTGTGCGCTCAGAAAACCACTGTCCTCTCAAACTGTAACATTCCTCTCTCAAACATCATGATCTTCTCTCAAACATTTTGGCACAAAATAACTCCATAGATCTCATCCAACGCTAGCCTTTGGAATACAATCCCCTACAGTATAATGCTCTAAAGCAAGCACTTCTGCAGAGATGAAAGGTCATGGTATCTCACTCACTACTGATCTAAGGACATTTTGCACTATGGAGCCGTACATCACAGTCACTGCTCGCTACATTACAGACACCTGGGAGTTAAAATTAAGAGTGACAGAAAGACACACTGCAGTCGAATTCACACACAAGTTAAGTGAATTTTTTTAATGAGTTGGGGCTTGACTGTCATTCATGACAACACAAGCAGCAAGAATCTAGCAATAGAACTCTATGACCAGATTCCCCATCTTCTTGGTTGCTCAGGACATACATTGCAGCTTGCAGTAAAAGCGGGATCGAATTTACATGTGATAGTGAAGACTGCCGATGCTGTGAGGCGTGTTGTTAGCCATTTTTTGTCGCTCAGCTATACAACTTGTGCATTGATGCTCCAAAACAACTGTGCTACGGGATGGAATTCCATATCTGTCATGCTCAAAAGACTGTAGGAACAGCAAATTCCAGTGCAAGCAGTGCTTGCTGACAAAACCATTACGACGGCATAGTACCAAAAATCTCTGTCCCTTGAATCCTTTCCAGTGGGAGTTGATCAAACAACTTCTTCCAGTGTTGAAGCCTCTGGCAAAGGTGACCAAGATAATGTATGGAGAATTACATGTTGGCCTTTCCTTCATCTATCATAGAGATTTAAAGAGTGTAATCTTGTAGCCATTTGCACTTTGAGAGATACAGTCCAGACGCAGCTGATAACACACTTTAAAATGGAGTCTGTTGAATTGGCAGAAATGATTCCTATTATGGCACACATGTTGAACCCTTGGTTCAAGCATCTACAGTTCTTCAAAACATACAGAAGGCCAGGGCCCATCTGTCTCAGCTGGCTCAAGATAAGGATGAAGCTACAGATTAGTTTGGAAAAATATATTAATCTACCTTTATTAACAAGGTTTTTGCTACTTAGCAGCTAGTTCATAGGCTACCAAAAGTATTTTCTTTCTTCACAGCTGTCCTCACGGGCAGCACTGATCATAAGAGATGGAGAGAGGTGTACAAATAAAGCTAGAGATGGACTTTAAAGAACTGTTGGGACCTCACTATGAAAGCAAGAAAAGAAGGAGGACCAGCACCTGTGGCTCTGAGGTTCAGGAGTACTTCCACACAGCACACGTTCCCATAATGGAAAATCCTTTGCAATGTTGGGCACACCACGAGGACCATTTTCCTCATCTTGCCAAGCTTTCTAAAATGTATCTGGCTATTCAAGCTACCAGTGCTCCAAGTGAGAGGATTTTTTTCCTTAGCTGGGAGCACTGTAACCTGACAGCTATCAAGCTTACACCCTTCTCATGTTGATGCTCTGATTTTTTATTACGGAAACTGCATAAGGAAGGTACTATTTTATTTTGTTTTAAAAGAACATGGTGACGTTCATATCACTTTTGTTCTGTGTTTAAATATCCACTGTGCGAGACCCAAAGTCTGAAGTGTAAGGTCCTGCGCAGATATTTTATTATTTTATCACATTCATTTATTTTCATCTTTAAAAGTGTAGCATTTAGAGTCTGTGTTTGTCTGTTATGTGAAGCACAATTTGACGCAGTATTGTCAATCAATACTTAACTGCACTAATAAAAACCTAGTTTTGCTTTAGTTATGGAAATTATGACTAGTCGACTACTGTTGAACAACCAGTCGACTAGAAAAATGACTAGTCGTGCAACCTCTTCCTCCTATCATGTGTTTTCATGTCAATGGACCACCCCATCTGCTTTCCTTATCCTCAGGTACCGACATGCAGGATATTGACTGTCTGGCGAGGGCTGGCCTGAGTGGGGTTCCTCCACATGCCGTGGCAGCGGCAGTCTTTGCGGCCAAGTATACCTGCTGCAATCCTGCAGGCCGTGGAGCACTCTGGGAGTTTGCAGATCACATTTTACTACTGAAGAAGATGGCCAATTCTAAAACAGATGAAGACTACATAGACAGGATGAATTTTTAGAGGAAATAAAGGTTTTCCTCATGTCACTTTTTAATTTTTTTAATTTTTCCTTCATACTTTAGCAAATGACCTGATCGAGATGCACTTTCCACATATTTCTGCTACTTTTTGATATTGGATGTATAATTTGGTGGCTGGTTGGTGTTGGTGTTAATTTAATTTCTTTGGGCTTTTTAATTTGGTATAATATTATTCTGACAAGACATAATAAGGAGAGTATATTTCAAAACAGCTAAAATTGCAGTTGTACAGACTGGCAAAACAGATTTGTATCAGACAAAGTTGAGACATATTAACCTAAAAAACATCTCTCTACCATCCTGACAAAAATTTCTCTACCATAATGTTCTCTTAGAGATGAAAATGAAATACTGAAGAATCATACTGAATGCTCATCAACATGTCATTGGTTTTGCTTTTATTTTCAGGGTATTTCAGAATATATATTTTCACAATTTTGTTTGTAAAACTGAAGCAATAAATAAAAATAATTAAACTAAAAGAACTGGCTTTATTGTTTTACAGGTAAATGCAGCCACACTTCTTTAAATGAAATGTTTGTTTTTATAATATATATTTGTTACTTTTGAAACGTGTGAAAATTGATTGTTTTCATAGTGAAATTTTAAGGAAGGGAGATTTGCCAGTTTAAAAGGTTGCCTTTACTAAGAGGGAATGTAATGTTTATAAATAGAACATGAAAAACAAAAAAAGCCACTTAACTGCTTAAATGGAAATAGTTTTTCCACCATGATTTAGCACCTGCTGTATGTGGTTCTTTAAACAACATATTGAAAAATAACTATACAGCACGAAATAGGCTTTCCACTAGTGTTACATATTAACCTTCTTTGGTTTATTTGAGCATATTTTTATTTTTCAATAAAAAAAAATAGTGTGACATTGGCACTGGTAATTAATCTCCAGGTTTTTTTATTCAGTTATTATTCCTCAGTAACTACTATAAATTATACTTATAATATACTTATTATAATTATTATGAAGCTAAGTCTGGACCCATCAAAGGGTCCTTAGAGTTTAAGAGATTAAATCAGCCTTTTTTCTGTGAACTCAAGAAGTGGTTTGTTGTTCTTTGGTGTGTCTATAGTTCTTGGGCTTAGTATGTCTGTTTTCAGAAATACAGGGTTAATGTTTCACATAATAACATCTGGAGAATAAGAACAGTTATGTCGTCATTGACTTCAGTTCCGCCTTCCATAAAGTCAGCCCCATGCACCTGGTAAGGAAACTTGGCACATTAGGCATCAACACCCCACTGTGCAACTGGTTACTGGACTTCCTCACAGACAGACCCCAGACAGTATGAGTTGAAATAAACACCTCTAAAACCATCATCATGAACACTGGAGTTCCCCACGGCTGTGTGCAGGGTCCACTGTTGTTCACTCTAAACACTGTTGTGTTTACTGTTACTGTTGTTGTCACTGTCATGACTGTTGTGCCAAGTACAACTGGAACCACATTATTAAGTTCGCAGGCGATACAACCGTGGTGGTTCTCATCAGCAATGACGATGACTATGCCTACAAAGAGCAAGTGAACCAACTCGTCGTCTGGTGTGACAATAACAACCTGTCACTGAATGTCAACAAGAAAAAATTACTGTTGACTTTGGGAGGAAGCACATGGTACATACTCCACTTACAATCTAGGGTAACGCTGTGGAGTCAGTGAGAAGCAACAAGTTTTTGGGAGTGCACATCACGGACGACCTGACATGGGCTACACACACCACCTCCCTTGTCAAGAGGGCACAGCAGCATCTTCACGTCCTACAACTGATAAGAAGAGCAAACCTCCCCATCCTATCATCACAACTTTCCACACAGGCACTATGGAGAACATCCTGACCAGCAGTCTCCCAGTCTGGTATAGCAGCTGCACCGCCACAAACCAGAAGTCCCTCCTGAGAGCAGTGAGAACAGCAGAGAAAATCATCAGAATCCCACTTCTGCCCATACAAGATCTATACCTGTCACACTGTCTCACCAGAGCCACCAAGATAGGCACACCCTGCCTATGGACTGTTTAAAAAAAGCCTTCTGCCTTCTGGTAAACACTACCACAGCATGTGACGCAAGACTGCCTGACTCAATAAAGTTCACTTTGACTTTGATCTGCAACTGTCCATTTTTACAACACCGATCCAACAATTGCTAACAATGATTCACAGAGTTAATGCTTTGTACATATTGAAAAAACAGAGGTTGATGGCACATTGGCATGTAGATACCTTTGGCTTAGATCAGCTAGATATGATATCTAGCTAATCTAAGATATTAGATATGAGTCTGGTATTTAGATTACTGTCTGTCAGAAGTATTTCTCTCATTTAGACATCATCTACCTTGGCACACTGCTGTCAGTCAAGGACAAGGACATGATGATGACCGCAGACCCAAAGGGTTCTCAAAGTCAGTCCTGGGGATGTCACAACAAGACTATTTTTGTGCTTTCTCTCATCTAGCATATCTGACTTAACTCACCTTTGAAATTCACTGCTCTAACCAGTAAAATCTGTTCACTGGCTACTACACACTTGCTGGATCAAATACATTTGAATGAGCCACTAAATAAGGATTTAAGGAACATTCTCTTCACAAATAGTTAGCCTGTAGAGAGTGATTTAAGCCAAGGCAGAACTCTGCGTCTTTCAAATGCTGGCACTGCATAATGGGTGAGTGCTGTAAGGGTACTGGCAGCAAACAAACAATAAAACCAAATTATAATTATGATAGCATATGTGGAAGTACGTGTACACTTGCTAAACTTGCCTGCTCACAAGCCAGTTAGCAGTCTCTTTACCTGTTTACAGTACTATGAACAAGTATCTGGCCCTTCCTGACAAAGACAACCTCAGTAAACATATTTTTTTAAACCATCATTTTATTTATGGAAGGAAAAAGTTATCCAAAACTGACCGGCCCTGTATGAAAAAGTAATTGCCCCCTCAGTTAATCAACCAGTAAACCAAATTTAGTTGATAATTGGGATCAATTAAGCAGCACAGTATGCCACAATCAAAAGAAATTCTGGGAAGGGATGAAAAAAAAGTTATTGTAATATATCAGTCTGGAAAGGGTTACAAAGCCATTTCTAAGGCTAGGGGACTCCAGCGAGCCACAGCGAGAGCCATTATCTCCAAAAGAGCCAAAGGTCCTCCACAGCAAGACTCTCCAGTTACAGGAAGCACTAGGCTGCAGTTGAGTACTTTTGCACAGAGACGATATAGGTGTTTCACAACTTTTTTCTTTCAATAAATAAAATGATCATTGACAAAAAACATTTGTGGTGCTGTATCTAAGCATTTTGGTTTTCATAAGACAAGAAAACTATCAAAAAAAGACAGACCAGCAGAAAGGATATCTTTCAAATTTAGTGATAATGAGAAACAGACTGAACAATAACTTCTGGGTGTTAATGAGAAAAAGTGAGAGGACAGTTTTCAGTGACAACACAGGATGCATATATCTGAGGCTTATATCTAATGTATCTGATTCTACCAAGAATAGTATGTGCGTTTGAATAGCGATATCAGATCATCTGTGCTGTGCATCTACTGTAATTGTATATGGTGTTTTTAGAAGGTCAAACAATTATTGCCAAGATAAATGGTTTTAAACAATAAGCTTAGGTTCTGACCTTAACTGACCTTTGCCCAGTGCTGTGTATTCTGTGTTCCTCTTATATTCACCTATGTATGCTTGTACATTATTTAAAAATGTACTGACGTTCTCTGATGTACATTCAGGTTTCATGAATATGTACATTTTGAGGTAAGTAAGGAAGGAAATAAATAATTTTTTTTTTTTTTTTAAAAAAGACTCCCTTTCCCATTTCATGTGTCCTTTGAAGCAAATCTCCATGATGGCAGTGTGGGAAGTGTAGGGGGCGGAACTTTTGAGACCTATAAATTGGCACTTGACCTTAGTGAAAGCCCCTTCAGTTAGCATCAGCTCGGTAGTGAGAGGGTCTCAGCACACAGGATCAAAGTCTCAAAATTAATTCATCATCAATTTTGAAGATGCCAGTCGAGTTCGAACTTTGTCCAGGAAGAAGGATCGGGGGCTCCAACCCCTGTTTCATCATCGCAGAGATCGGTCAGAATCATCAAGGAGACATTGAGATTGCCAAGAAAATGATTCGCATGGCTAAGGTATTGTAGAGGAATAAGGTTTATCAGGTTTGCAATTTTACAAGCCTATTTGTTTTGAAGGCTTATAAAAACTTTTTAAATGTAATTAGGATGAGGAAAGTCATATTTAATCTCAGATCAGTACATTCACAGAAATAAAGCAACTCACAATAATGTGAATGCATTTTGAAATATGTTAATTACATAATCAGCAGTGAACTGTAACTGTAGTTATAACTTGCTGTAATATTAGAGCTATAGAAATGAATGTGTACAAATGAGTCAATAAGTCAATAAATCAATAAATAGATTAATCCATATTAGCAACCATCACTGTTTACATCAAAAAAAAAATACATTTTGACATCAAAAGTACCTGGTACATAATATAGATATCCCTTAATCAGTTGTGAGTGGTATTGAAACATGGAAGCGTTGAGGAACAGCAACTCGAAGTGTCAGACCACATAAAGTTACACAGCGGGGTCACCGAGTGCTGAGGCGCAGAGTTTGGAACTGCAGAGTTCCAAACCTTCTCATTAATATCTTTAATATCAGCACAAAAATCATGCGCCACGACCTTCATGACATAGGTTTCCATGGCTGTGCAAGCCTTACATCACCAAGCACAATGCCAAGCATCAGCTGGAGTGGTGTAAAGCACACTGCCACTGAACTGATGGATGAGTCTGACTTTGGCGAATGTGAACGCGAATGGCTGTATTGTGCCAGCTGTAAAGTTTGGTTTAGGAGGGATAATGCTATGGAGTTGTTTTTTCAGGGGTGGGCCTACACCCCAGTAAATGGAAATCCTAATGCTTAATGCTTCAGCTTACCAAGACATTTTGGACAATTGTATACTTCCAACTTTGTGGGAACCGTTTGGGAAGGCCCAGTGCACAAAGCAAGGTCCATAAATGCATGGCTGGGTGAGTTTGGTGTGAAAGACCGTGACTGGCCCTCACAGAGCCCTGACCTGAACCCCACTGAAAACACTTAGAATGAACTTGTCCAACATCAGTGTCTGACCTGACAAATACTCTTCTGGATGAACGGGCAACAATTCCCACAAACACACTCCAAAATCCTGTAGAGAGCTTCCCAGAAGAGTGGAAGCTGTTATGGCTGCAAAGGGGGGACCAACTCCATATTAATGCCTATGGATTTAGAATGGGATGTCATAAAAGCTCCTTTAGGTGTAATGTGCAAGTGACCCAATACATTTGTCCATAGAGTATATCAAAAATCTAGATATCTGCAGTCCATTAACAAGTATATAACAAAACACAACACATACACTGTACTTACCCACTGTTTTCACTGTACTGACAATCACTCTCCATCCTGGATCAGATCATTTTTCATCGACCAGTTTCTGACAGTCACTGTCTACTTGTAACTCAGGTAATATACTCTCTCTCCCTTTCTCTCCTCCTGCTCTTTGTTCTCCTCCTCCTCCCTCCTCCCCCACACCTAGGACTGTGGAGCAGACTGTGTTAAGTTCCAGAAAAGTGAGCTCGAGCACAGGTTTACTAAGCGTGCACTAGAGCGCACATACAACTCCCCTCATTCATGGGGAAACACATACGGGGCCCACAAGCGCCATCTAGAGTTCAGTCACGAACAGTACAGGGAACTGCAGCAGTTTTCCAGAGAAGTGGGAATTTTCTTCACTGCATCAGGAATGGACGAGGTAAGGAATTATTACGGAAGTAATTATGACTCACAAAAGCAAAATGTTCTACAGCAAGACTGCAGTTTACATTTAATCAAAGCAAAATGAACATTACATTGTTTTAAAGCAGGGCTGCCCAAAGTGTGGCCAATTACACAAATATATGTAGTGAGTGTAGATTTCATATCGTCACTGTCCAAAAAAAAAAACAAAAAAATACGAGCAAATATATGTACAGTTTTGAAAGAACGTTGTATTTTAAAAATATTTTACAAACAAAATACAGTGTGAATATTATAGAATAAACTGCCTTGAAAATATAGAATTATATGCATATAATTCTAAACCACAAACTAACGCTATAGTGATATCTGGTGGCATGCAGTCTTCAAAAACTTCATGAACATCCCACTTTGGTCTGGGTCTTAAGAGAGAAAGTGTGGGCACTCCTGTTTTGTGCATTATGCTTTTAAAATAAAATTTTTAACCATTTTTTTTGAACAAAGATGGCTGTGGAATTCCTGCATGAAATCAATGTGCCCTTCTTCAAAGTGGCCTCTGCAGACACCAATAACATCCCTTACCTGGAGAAGACCGCCAAGAAAGGTGCATTTACATTGTTTATTTTTATTTCTAGCAAGGTGGTTAGTAGCAAAGCACTTTTCCACTGTCCACCTGCAAACTGACTAAACCTGTGTAGAAACTGTTTTCAGGTATAAGCACAAGTATAATCAAATGTAATATAATGTTTAAGTACAACAAATGTATTTATTTTCATGGCAGTTTGGTGCAAACTGTACTAGAGATGTATAAGTCCAGCTCAGCACATGTGGACTAATGTCCCCAGGTCGTCCTATGGTGATATCCAGTGGTATGCAGTCTATGGAGACTATGCACTGTGTTTATCGGACAGTGAAGAAGCATAACCCAAACTTCACCATCCTGCAGTGCACCAGCGCCTATCCACTGCCCACAGAGCACGTCAACCTGCGCATCATCACCGTGAGAGTCCTTTACTCCTTCACTATTGACTTTGTAGTTTCAGGGACAGGGAGTTCTGCACTTTATATTAAAATTTAATCATACACTGACATGTCTATATTTTGGACAGTTTTTATTTTTAAGAATAGAGATGGATGCAGCTCAAAATGTTTGCAGGGGTGCAACAATGTGCAACAAGCACATCCTGCTGTTTTTACAATTCGATACATTTTCAATACAGAATTAAAAAGAATGCTTTATAATATTATTATAATGCATTATTTTTAAATAATAATAATGATTATTACTATTACTCATTATTATTATCTGTGTAATTTAAGACATGAAATCTAACTGTACACAACCCCATATTAAAAAAAATGAGAATTAAAATGCATATGGTGACACCCCTGTATGCTTGCTGTATGATGATCTTGTAACAGTTCCTGTTCTGAGTTCTGGGAAGGACCCAGGGATGTTGAAGAAGCGCTAGATTGTTTTGGTTCTAATTGAGTTAAGAGATATTTACAAACTTGGTTCAAATGCTTTGTCTCAACTATTCCCCAACTACTGCTGTCATGTAATTGACCAAAAGTTGTCCTGTTTTCATTTACTTCTTACTCCAGCACTGAAATGTAGCAAGCAGAGTAGAACAGAATAGAACAGAATAACCATAACTTTCTGATGCAATGTTATTTCTGTTCTCCAACACAGGAATTCCAGAAGGAATTTCCTGACATTCCGATCGGCTACTCTGGCCATGAAGGGGGCATCAGTGTGACTGTAGCTGCTGTAGCCCTGGGGGCAAAGGTTGTGGAGCGGCATGTAACCCTAGACAAAAGCTGGAAGGGCAGTGACCACGCAGCGTCACTAGAGCCTGCCGAACTGGCAGCACTGGTGCGAGAGATCCGGACAGTGGAGCTTGCTCTGGGCTCTCCAGTGAAGCAGATGCTGCCCTGCGAAGCCTCCTGCCACAAAAAGGTCAGAAATTACAGTAACACCTGCAGGTCCTCTTAAGAACATGCCTGCTGTAGCAAAGCCTGCCCTTCCATTGTCCTTTTCAAGTAATCTAACCATTATAATATAATTAAACTAACGTACACTTCTGTGTAGCAGTGCAGACGGATTTGTAAATACTGACAAAGCTGCTTCTACATGATCAGCTATCACATTAGATGTAAATGGCTAAATAAGTCTGTCCAGTTTCTTTCACTTAAAGACAAATTTTGTCTTTTTTTAATTTCTACATAATTAAGTCATTCAGAGTGATTTGATGTAAAATGATTAACTGTAGAGAAACTTGCTCGCTCAGATCTCTTTACAGTGATGGTGATAGGAACCAGGGGTCTACAGCACAAATGTAGCCATTTCATTTATCCAAAACCACCAGTAAACCTACACGTCATCTGAGTTTTGATGTATAATACTGATGATGGTAAAATAGTGGTAAATCTGCTAAAAACAGTCTACTTTGGGGATTATTTTACCTTATAGCACTCTGCATGTACCTTCTGCCCTTAATGTATTGGAAAAGAAACTGCCTCAGTCATTAGGAAACATATTTAAAACTATTGTAATTAATGATGTTCTGTGAGGGAGCACTGAAGTGAGGACTTAAACTCTCTAGACATAAACCAATATAAACAATGTAAAACAATGTAAACAATGCTGACTTTTTTTGAAGTTTTTCCTAGCACAGAGCATTTCACATTAAACCACTCAGAATGGCTGTGTTTTTCATCTTAACTATTTAATTTTGCAGAAAATGTAAAAAAAATCAATGAAACCCCCCCTCATTACCACAGCAGCAACTCCAAAACATCTGGTAGTTAACTGTGAAATTTTAATTCAACTGTTCTGTTTCAGTTGGGTAAGTCGGTCGTAGCGAAGAAGGCAGTGCAAAAGGATACAGAGCTAACCCTCGAAATGTTGGGAGTTAAAGTAGCAGAACCACAAGGAATACCACCAGAGAAGATCTTCAAACTGGTGGGTAAGAAGATCACAGTGGACCTACAGGAGGATGACACCATCACTAATGACATGATCAAAGACTGACCTTCTTTTAGATTTATTCATCATCACTGAGTTAACAGTCCTGCTTAAGACACAACATAGACAACCTCTGTTTTTTTGCAATGAAAGTTTAGCTGTTTTGTACATTTAGCATGAAATATAATCATGGTGAATTCTTCAACTGCAGTTCAGTGGGATCAACATAATTGTTTGTGCAGAGAAAGTGATTGTTGTGGATGATGTTAACATGGTGAATGATCTGAAATTAATCAGTTAATTTAAGCCTAATAAGCCGACATTCAACCAGGTATATTCAAGCACTTCCTAATGTACTACATGGTCTACTAAAAAGTTTGTGATATAAAGGTCATACTGCACACTGTTCCAGTATCCTGTTTCTTTTTCTTGAGGTTCATTAATAGGATTTATGTGGTTTTATGTACCAAGGCGGTCTTTCGTTACTTTTCATCTCTCTCTATTCCTTGTATATAATACCCTGTTTTTGCTGCTATGCCTTCATATTAACAGCAATATTACTACTGGCTGAAATGGGTCACACTATTTCTCCTTAATATCTCTGTAGTGTCTCCCAGACAACAGCAAGATCAGATGGAAAGACAAAGGAGATTTTGCTCAAGATATGACATTTTTGCCATATCACCCACCCTCATACTGAAGTGATAACTTTTTTTTTCCACAAAACGTGCACTGCACTGTGCTGGCACTCAATACTGAAATTAGTTAAAGCAAAATTCCTCATTACAATGTAAAGAAAGTAGTTTGGAGTGGTTTGATGTAAAATGCTTAATTCTAGAGGAATTTACAGATTCAGAATTGTTCATGTGTTGGTGATGGTAACCAGACGTCCACCTCTAAAAGCTCTCATAAAGACACTGTTTTACAATAGATCTGAGATATGCTTTTGGCCTAAAACTAAACTTTTAAATTCATTAATTGCAGAGAGGTACAGGCATAAGATCCCCACCACTGTAAAGACTCAGAGGGGGGCTACTCTACAATGAACCGTTTTACATTGAACAATTCTGAATGACTTTATTCACATCTCAACAATTAAATTATGCAGAAACTTTAAAAATTGGTGGAATTCCCCTTGAACTAACCAGCCAACTGGCTGATGTCTTTCACAGACAGAGCAATGCCAAGAAAATCCAACACGAAAATACTCACGAAAAAATCTTATTGATACACAGGCCTAATGTATGATTTCTTTAGAGGCTATTGATGAATGCAGCCAAGGCATTTTAGGCATTTTGCCAGGAGACATGTGTAACTCAATGTTTCTTCAAAATTATTTTCTATAACTGAATGTAAAAAAGAAACTTACAGCAGAGACTCATTTGATATTGTCTTTTCAATAGTGTAGCCCTAATATATACACTATATTCTATGCTGTACCAGAAGCCTGTGCTATATCAGTCAAAAACAAATGTAAATACTTTTACATTTAATAGAAGAGCCATTCTTTTACTCTAATTGGTTAACTACTGGATAGGAGGGAGTGGAACGCTGGAGCTGAAAAGAAAATACAGCTTATTTTCTGAAAGTACCAAAACAACAATATTTCCCTTCTAATCCCTGCAATAAAGCATATTATCCTTTTTTTGTGAAACTCAAAACACAATATGTGGTGGAACAGACAGTATTACACAAGTACAGTAAATAACAAAGAACAAAGAATAAAGCACTGACTAGACAAAGTCTTGGCAAGTACAAACAGAACAAAAGAAACGTATCAATAAACTTGGAGCAGGTGCTGGTGTTCTGATGATGCAGGTCTAGGCAAAGAAGCCAGCAGCATGATTGTGATACTTCTTTCTGCACTTGTTTCTGATGTGGATGGAGCTGTGAATAGCTTTTGGAACTACTGAAGATTTCACTAAGGAGAAACAAAGCCATATACCTCCATCTGCTAGCCTTCGAAAGCAGCCCCCCTGCAGGCCAGAAAGTGATGAGCATACGGTTATCTTTCTTTAAACACTGAGACAGGGGGCCTTGTAAACAGTTGGAGTCACTCTGTATAGGAAAGAACTATTTCTGTAATACATGCTAGCTGGAAGCATTACAGGCCGACACTATTATAATGAAACATAATTGCCGCTCCCTTAGCCGAGTCACACATTCCATATTCAGGGTCTGTGCTTGAGCTGTGTTAAAATGTGCAAAATAAAATTCACGCTCTATAGTGCTTTACTGATCTTTTGCTCATGCCTGTCTCAGAAGAAGGGTGTTTTCTTTAGGAACTACACCCAAGACTTACATGTCACTATCAAGATTTTCATAAACCAGTTTCAACTATAAAACAGAATCATTTACCAGCTTATGCTGTAGTATATTCTCTCATTGCCAGCTGGTCCATCTGTCATATTAAGAGACAGTAAATGAGACTGTGTTTGTCACAATCGCCACACGCACACTGAAGGAAAAAATGAGATCATGCAGGCTGAGACATTTACACGCAAGACGTTTATCTTGTATTATAAATAACAGCACTACAGTAATTTGTCCTTTTGTTTTATCCATTAGCAGAGAAAAGGCAACTCTAAAATAGTGCTAGGTGACCAACTGAGCCCTTGCAAAGGACAACAGTATATGTGACATTTTTTGTAAAAATCATACACGTATACTGTGATATTGTTTGAAACTCTGTATTTAAAATAAAGGGGTCACTAAAATGTAAACAAAGCATGGTTTGTCTGTTTTTATGTAAAAAGCTGCACAACATTAAACAGAAAACAAAAAAGGTGAAATTGTTAATGTATGATTTTTTGTTGGAGGGGCTCCCAACAGGTTCAGAGAAGTGGGTGAAAGTGGGGGTGCTCCAAATACATCCAAGACAACTTGTACAAATCTTCTCACATATAGATGGAATTAAACGTATACGTACAACAGACTAAGTGATATCACATAACATTAACCCCATGGGGATGGAAAGGAGGATGATTTTTGCCTCTTTTTTGAAATGGGTGATGGCTGCCTCTTGCACTTCCACCTGCACCAACCCCACCAATCCCCAAATCAAGCCCTAATGATGACAATCTATTCTATAAAATAGCAGCATCTCCATTGCTATGCTGTTAGAAGTACACTGTGTAAGATTCCCTTTGGTGAAATTTTAAGAAAAAACAGAAGAAAGCAGTCAAATGAAAACAGGCTATGTCACGTTTGTGGGACAGTTCTTCAATATAAAGTACCAACACTCAGGAGACCTGAGTCCATTAACCGTATTAATCTGCCTATTATTAATAATTACTAAAAATATTATTAAAAATGATTTAAAATTATAAATTCAAATTAATATGAAATATTTAAATATATCAAATCCAAATTTTCAAACAATATGTTCCAAAGCAAGTACTGTGATATGGATTTTATCTGTACCACACAGTGCTGTCCAAACACTGAAAAATGCACAAGATTTCTTCACTCAAAGCTGCAGTTACTCACTAACACCACCTGCTGGACAAAGCCTCTTTAAGCTGCTGCTCCTAGAAAAAAGTGTGATTTCACACATTAATGCTCAAGTCACAAGTCCACAGCGATTTTCTGAAATGTGCTGAACAGCCAAAGCAGTGCAGCAGAAGGAAAACAAGCCAGTTCAGTTCAAATGTTCTTGGATTTTAGCACACTTGGCTCTCTGCCTGCTACAATTCACGTGTATTGTATTCATTTTGTCTACATGTATTGTGAACAAACATTCACAGTTTATTATGGCTTGTTTATTAGTCTATTGTCTCTATCAGAGGAGGGTAATAACTAGTTGAATTACTCAGTTACATGTGCTCAAGTAATGTTTTGATGGACTTTTATTTTCCTGAGTATTTTCAAATGATAATACTTCCATTTATATTAAAGTATATTTGTGAAGAAAGTAATCTACTTTTCATTCAGTTATTAACAGTTAATAATAATTTAATTTTACTGTTATGTTGGTTATTGCTATGTGGTGCACTTCTTTATGTTAGGTCATATCTTTGCTTTGAAAATGTGATTTTGTTATTTAAACCAAGACAGCATCAAAAATACACAAGTAGCATTTAACGATCCTCAGTTTCTATGCTGAATGTACCAAGAAGTTTCACTGCAGTTCTACAAGTTGCTCAATAATTAAGTAGTTGGGTCATTCTAAGGAAACGTCCACTTTTCTATCTATCCATAGGTGTCAGTGTTGTTACCAATCCTCATTGGTGTTACACATAAGAAAGGTAACACCAGAGACAGTAAAGGTAATGGTTCTATTGTGACATTTTTAATGAAAAATGCATTTTACAAAATGGCTGCTAAAGAGCAATTAAACACGTTGTCAATAATGGAATATCCACTAAAATATGTAATTTAATCCATTTGTTTCAACTTTTTTCACAATTACCTAAGAATAAAGTAAGTCATATCAGTGACTTCAACTAAAAGCTTCATATGAAATCATGAGCTGAATGAGGAAATTTCTGATAACTGAAAAGACACAGTGGACTTACCATGTGTTTTTTCATAGATCCTCAGAAAATAGGTAAAAGGAAGTCAAGTGATGTTATCAGTGTGACTTTTATTTCAAAATAAAAGTTTTTTTTTATGCGGTAACACCAGTGACATGACTCCTGCAAACAACAACTTTCATTATATATTTTATAATATTTATTTGGCATTTGTTTTCTTTATGTCATTTAATTCATATATTTCATAGCCATGTATAGATTATTGCAGTTGAAATTGCAGAAAAATAAACACAAAATTGATGGCTCAAGAAGGTGTAATTGTTCAAATAACATTGTTTTATTTTAAAATATAAATAAATTGTAACCCTAACATGTTTTTCAAGTGTAATATATCTGTAAACGCAAGAGACACAAAAACGGACGTTTCTGTAGTATGATCCAGTTTTACCTGGTATTTTTGTACTTCTGCTTAAGTTTTCTTTTACTTCTTTTATGTCATGTTTTTATTGCAGTAATATTACACAATAAAAAGTCTGGCAGCAGGGATGCCAGACAAAACTTGTCAGTTAACAATAAAAGTGTATTTTCTCAATGATGGTAAAAATCAGTATTTCTTAGAAATACAGATTTTTACTGTAATTCATATTGTACCATAATAATAATAATAATAATAATAATAATAATAATAATAATAAAAACCATTAAAAAACACACTTCACAATATCTGTTGAATAAAGGTGATAATTTGCTTATGTGAATTTACTTCTGAAAATTCACAGCAATCTTAAAATACGGTGTAAATATA